TTATAAGTCCAATCTTATATATTATTTCTAAAAGATGTTTTTTTGTCAGTACGCCATAACTTCGTCAATTCTTCATCAAATCCAATAATTGATCACTCATTTTGAATAGATTCTCCTCCTTCACATGCCAAAAATAGTCCTACTCCCCCGAAATTTCTGAGAAAAAAATCATAAAGAAAAAGAAACTTTATTTGCGAAGAACTGAAAAAGTATGATAGTATCCATGATTATTAGAAAGATTACTAAATTATCTACAAAACAAAAAAAAATCGTAAAAATCAGACAATTATTTACAAAGATACAGTCCATTAATTTTGGTATACTTACTAATTTCTTCATGTTTCAAGATACATTTATTATTCTACTACACTTTTTTCCTAGGCGTATATATTAACCTTACTATTTCTTAAAGGCATTTGTTTATTCTTACGTTTTATATTTTATAACAATTTAGAAAATCTTGGAGTGGAACTTTTGTCTGCAAAGTCGGGTCGAAAAGTTTGCTGTAAATAAAATAGTTTTATTACTATTTTAGTCTGTTTATGACCGCCAACCCGGACCATCTTATTGCTCAGGAATTAAGTAATATTTCAAATAATCATGGGTACAACCAACAAATAATGCATACTTTTTGAGTTATTTGCAAATTACGTTTCCTTTCCTTCATAACATTTTATCCTCAAATTCTGAGTGATGTGAATATTTTTCCCACCTAAAGGAGATGATCTTCAAAATGAAGGCTCAATCTTTGTATTTGATGAGGAATTGACGAAGATATGGCGAACCGACAAAAAAAAACACGTTTGCGAAATAATATATAAAGACTTATTAGTATTTTAATTTAAGTAAATCATATATTGCAAAAAAAAGAAAAGAAGAAGAAATATTGCTTATCAAACCACGATAATGGGCCTACCATCTTATCAGAGTCAATTGATAAAACATTATGCCCAATATATGCTTGACGGATTTTAGCATTTTAAACATTATAATCCAAATGGTACGTATGTATTGTATGCGCAGAAGCCAAAGTATTGTCTATAAAAATATTGTCTATCTTCGTTTTGTTGCATTAATATCCTTTAATAGGTCGACTTTATATTTTAGGTTTTTAAAAATCATAAAATCATAACAAATTACTTATACTTTTTTAATAAACTTTACACATTAAATTATCAAATTATTTTTAAATTCCAATACATCAATAATGTTTTATTTTCCTACCTATACTAGGTAAGTAAGTAATAAACCTATATTAAGTAAGGAAAGTATTGCGATCGGGTCAAATTTCCGATTTTCTATTTTCGACAGATCTCTATGTTTCAGAGCCGTCTCAGTCCGAAAAAAACATTTTCAGCCATAGGTCTGTCTGTCTGTGCCAAGATTAACTCGGGAACAAGCAGACCGAATGTTGCTTCTTTTTTTATTTTATAGGGTTTTGACTACTGATACCTGTGACACAAATTGGGTGCTCCCAGCGCTACAGCGACTGCGCAATAAGTGACAAACATATTTTTCTATAGACTGTGCCACAAAAACGTCTCTAACGATTTTGGTGAAACGTTCCTATACCTCTCAAAATTAATATTCTTTCAATTTTCGTACATGTACTAAATTCTCCAGAAAATTCAGGAAAGCGTTATAAAGAAAAGAATAATGTTTTGGACTCTAACTCGCTAAGTATATATTCTATGGTAGAATATAAGTAATGGTTTTATTCATAATGTCTGTTACAAATGGCATCTTAAAATACAGAGTAATAATACTATGAATATATGGGTTGACTACAAGAATGTCGCTTCAAGTATGTAACTGCAAGAGTGATTTGTCCTGAGGAACATGGGGTTAATAAACCCAAGAATAGTAGGGGATGAAGGGAAGTCGGAAGAGGACGGCAAAGGAAGTTATCGATAGTTAATATTCTTAAGATGAAGTCGGTGAGAAAGAGATCTTTTGCTGAACTCTGTTGTTGTTCCCTAAGTCTTAATTTAAGTTCTAGTCAGTACTTTCTTGTGTTTAGAAGTTTTTATTTTATTTTATGTGTTTAGACATTTTTATTTTATTTTATGTGTTTAGAAGTTTTTATTTTATTTTATTTGTTTATTTTTATTTTTTATTTTTATTTACCTTCTTCATCAGTATTATTTGTTTACTTCTTATATTTATATTTATTTCTTTATTATTTGTATATATTGTATGAATGAGAACTTTTAGCCCTAATGCTTATGCTTATGCCCTCCAGCAGTGGCTGATTGTATTATTATTTAATAAATAGATTTTTAAAAAAAGTCAGTACTTTCTAGATAACTATTTCTAAGCTATCGGAGATAGCTTGACCTGGCTATCTAGGGATAGCTTTGTTCTTTTATCCTTTAAGTTATGAGATCTGATTGGCTGTCATGATTCACTAATTGGCATATTTAACAAACTCAATTATTAAAATAAAAGTTAAATTAATATTAATATTATTATTGGTATTTGTTACGGATTAAATTCATTCAGTAACTGATGATAGAGCGTATTCTATTTTCTACATATGTTTTAATTTATTACTTTCTACATATACCAGCTAAGAAAGTATTGCGGTTTAAACCCGGTTTACATTGCTTTAGTTTATCAAAGAAATCGTACTGAAATCTTTTTCTCGATCGATTTTCAGGAAAACAAATCTAATTCAATTTATATTTTGTTTCTTAATGGACATATTTCTAATGCCTCCAAAGAGTTTAAAGATTTAAAGATAATCACTCAAAATTAATAACCAACTTAGTGGTTTAAATAATTAAATTTCCACAATTTATCTTCCATAAGAAATTAAAGCTTTCAAACTTCTTACTTTTTCAAGTTCAAAATCCTTCGCTACTGTTAGTGCATAAGTTCGAATGTAGAAATTCATTTTTTTTATAGAAGAGAATTATTTCTTATACCGATTATTTCTTTATGATTTATTAGTATAATTTCATATTGTGTTTCTCTTGTATATTTTTTCTATTTAGGAAACTACTTACAGCAGTTGCAAGACTAAAATATGTCACCTTCAGTGCAAAGAGAATTAACATGTAAAATTGTTACATACGACCTCTTGTACTGATAGTTGCGATATATGGAATCCATCCAACGTTCACGTACACCTACCTATCTTTTTTTATTTTGATGTCTAAGATATTTCGATACTTATATAGAACACGACTGCCAAGACGGCAGCTGCTACAAGCTCATATAAAGCGAGTTTCTAAACTCAGCACTGAACTCATCGATGCCATCGTGATGCGTTGTTTAAAGACGGATACGATACCATCGATGAGCTCAGTAATAAGTTTAGGAACTTGCCCATTATCAAACTTTAGATGTTCCGAATATTTCTGTGCGTTGCCAATTTTGTACGAAGGAGTATTTACGTGAATTTATAAGGCGACGCTAAAAGTTAAAGCAACCATACATTACATAAGTAACCTTATTTCCATTACAAATTTAGAGTTAATTCTCCACTGAAGGGAATTGAAACGTAGCATCCGGCCTTTATCAACTGAAGTATATCGTATCTGCTCTGGACTGTTTTACAAAACTGCTTCAAAAAGGAATACAAAAATATAACACTAACTCATAAGATAAGAAACTATCTAATTTCTGTCAATGATAAAAGTTAGATAGTAATTTACATCAAGTATAAGAAACACCATCAAAAGATCAGCGATTTTTAAACGTTACAACTTAGTACCCTTTTCAGTCTAAAAACATTTCGCGACACTTGTCGAATTAAGAAAAAAATAGAGTGATTAAGTAATTTTTATAATAATTGAATTCTAATCTATTTTTAGCGCACTATATATAAACGAAATAATGTCTTTATGTTATAGGTAATTTAAAATTTGGTTGGTTTTAATTTTATTTCGGTTATTAATAAATATAGTTTATGAATTTCAAGAATGTTTATTTACCAAGTTGACGATTTATACTTAAATATTATTGCCTCTGTATCTAGTTAGAGATCCTCTGCAATAGAGCACACAAGAAAACTTTAGCTGCTATGTGGTTGAGTACTATAAAATACTAATACACTTCTTAAACGTCGGATCCAATGGAACAAATGCCTACCTCTCCTTGAATAAAAGAAACACGTTTAAATGGCTATCTTGGTTATTTAGACAGCTCTATAATTAGTGTCTCAAGTCACTAGCGGTTTCAGGATTTAATTTTGGGGGGAGGCCTCAGCCCGAAAGTTTTTTTTTTTAATAAAAATAACGATAATTACTTTGGAAAAAAAGAAAGAAACTAACTAACTATATGAAATGGTGTTTAAGTGATTCCTAAAGTCCTTTTAAATGTAATAACACGAACAATAATACTTAAGAGATAATTTTTAATATTTTTTTTCCATAAACCATGGTTATATTTAACAATTTTAGGGGGGACTTCAGCCCTCAAGTCATCCATTTTTGGAATATCAGTCAATGGTTCATACTGTCTTATCGTCTTGTACAATTGTGTTAGAGATTTTGAAAATATTTGGAAAAGGTTGGAGAAAATATTTCAAAGAAAGCGCCTAAGTAACGCGATGAACTGTTTCCTACGAAGGTCATCAATATTAATGAGGTAGTCCAAAAGAAAAATGTTTAATATCAGAATTTTGATAGTATAATAATAACCACTGTTTGATAGTTAAATGACCTAGAATAAAAAGTATCCAAAAGAATAATAAATATAGAATTTAATCTTACGTTGAAGAGAATCTTCTGCCAAGCTTCTGTGAAACACATAATAGAATCACACACTGAACCTAAATCACAATGTTATCAAATTGAATTAATAGTATTCTTGACTGTAGTTTATAAATCCCTAGAGCACTTGTTGAAGTATTTTTTTTATTATATAATTTATTAAAATGAAGCTATGTAACAAAACCAGCTTCAAATATTCTATAATTAAATATATCACTTCGTTGTATTGAATTTCCCGCCAGAATATTTGGATCGTGAGGTACAGTGGCGCTGCCATGTTTATTTTCTGACTCACTTTTGACAGCCTATTGTGGTTGTCTGCACAACGTTTTGGGGGGATGTGTGCATGTGCTATTGACAGTGATTATTTATTAAATATTTATTAGTGTTTTACTCATGGATTAATTGTTCTTTATATCGTTTTAAGACCCCTGATAATTTTTCACTCATCAGATTTATGTTGTGAAAATGTGATATGTGTACCTGACTCTTGTTAACTTTACATTCCTGTATTAACAGCATTTAATAATTTAATTTATTTGACTCATGCCCGCTAATGAAGAAGTCATAATAATGGAAAATACCGGTAGTATAAATGATTCTAATATTAATGAGAGATTCGGCTCTGCAAAGCCAATGACACTTCCAGATATTGTCTACAAACGAATTAGAGGTATATTTGGAATTGGTTGTATAAGAAATAGCAAGTCCAATGAAGATGGATATGTTGAGTTCGGCCAAAACGAAGGAGGTGATTCCTCGGGTGGTAGAACTCTTGGGACGTTTGCTGGTGTATTCAGTCCTGTAGCACTGTCGATGTTCAGTGCCTTACTGTTCCTGAGAATTGGTATGATTTTATTTCTTATGCTATAGTTATTAATATTTTAAAAGTAAGCCTCCATGCATTTGTAATAAGTAATCATGTTTTTGTTTTTTAGGGTATATTGTTGGAAATGCTGGACTATTAGTTACTTTGATCCAGTTTTTAATAGCATACAGTATACTTGTGTTCACTGTTACATCCATTTGTGCTATCTCGACTAATGGTGCTGTAGAAGGGGGTGGTGCTTACTGTATCCTTATTAATCTTTTAATAATTAATTCCATATATTCATCATTTAAATTTACTTTTTTTGTTTCAATTAATGGTGTTTTTAAATAATATTCATGTTGGCTGAATATGTACAACATTCTCATTGCATTTAATATTTGAAATATATATATTAAAAATATCTTTGAATATTTTAAAGTTATGTGTCAGTTTTGGAAATAAATCAAGTAATTTTAAAATACATGATACATCAATGATTAAATTGTAAAAGGATCAAATCAATGAAATACAAATATTTAAGGTTTAAGTTGTTTTATTCCTAGCTAGTAATTTTTCTGCTGTATATAATTATTTTAATGGTTTGCTAAAATATACCTGCATATTTTTTTTAATTTTAAATCATGTAGTGTTTTTTTTTTTCAAAATTGTCGCTTTTTAACTATAAATTTATTCTGCTGAAATTCTGACAACATTTTTACTTTTTGTTGCCTGGACAATGCAAATTTCACAATTGGCCCCTGATGTTTATAATGGAAAAATTTCTATCAATATTTCTTAAAAGATTTATGGAAATTCTAGAATACCCCAGTGAGAAATCTCACATTAGATCCTATACTTCTCCCTCATGGATTTGAGTTATAGTAAGCGACATCAGCATAACATGTTTATTCATATAAACTGCAGATTTCAAGATAGTCTACTCGTGAAACTTCATGCTTTACCACAACTGTTAAAGTAACAATTTACTTAATAAATGATTAGCTTGTCTGTCTGAAAAACATTCCTCTAGTTTAATAGTTAGCACTACCATCTCATAACCTAAATTAATTCATTATTGTACTGGCCCAAGACATATTTGTTTGTTGCATTAGAATCTTGGTGTTTAGTTCTCTTATTAGAATATAGAAGTCTATTACTGAGAAGCCATACTTGGATACTTTATTTTTATTTATTAAACTATCTCACCCGGCCATGTGTTGCTGTGGCTCATTCTGGGTAAATAAAAAAAGAAGTAGAAAAGAAATTAGATGTTTCTAATATATTTCATGTAACAATACTTGTGAATATGCGATATTCTTTGTACAGATATAGAGATTGTCTGGTTTTCCCAACTCAAGAATTTGCAACACATAATTGTCTATATAAGAAGCAATCGGTCACCAAATCGTCTGATTTTAGTGATTTCTTTTTTATTTGCAGGAAATCAAGAAAGCTTTCAAATAATGATGGGTATAATCCAACAAAATTGTGTACTTTTTGAGTTATTCGCAAAAATAGTTTTGAACTCATAGTAACTTTTTTTTCATACTCTTTTCGGTGAAGTATGTTATATACATAAATTAAAAGGACTTCAAGGAGAATACTTTAGCCAAGTTTAATTAAAATCATTCAGCCATTTAGGCGCTACAGTCTATAGCGACACATGTTTTTGGGCCACCATTCCGAAAAAAAAGACCGGAGAGTGATTAAATGTATATAAAAACATTCCTGAATGCAATAGAAACATTATGTCAATGTTTCAAAGCGATCGGTGTAGAAGTTTTGGAGATTAGCAGTTTTGAACAAACAAACATTTACGTTTTTATTAATATAGATATATCAAAAAGCTTTCTTCCTATATTATCCAAGATGTCCAAGGGATCGTAGAGCTATTCTTCCCCATCTACTTTATCAATAGATGTTTAGTTCGTCAAAGACAACAAAATAAAAGCTTTATTTTAATTTTAAAAACCTAAACACGTGATAAGTATACCATGGCAACCATAGCACCATTTGGCTAGAAATACAATTTATCTCGAACTGTGCCATTTTCAGTTAATGATTTCAATTCTGTTGTTAATAAATAAAAAATTATTAATTTTTAGTGTGTCTAATTGATAATTTTGACCATAAATATTAAATGTTAAAATAAAAATATTATTGCCATCCCTAAGATGTCACATTACCCACTTTAAAAACTCCTGCTCTAGTGAGCCTGAGTGTATCAAAAGATACGGGAATGGACTACGGCTAATTAAACTTACCAATCCCACAAATATGATTGCATTATTATAATAATAATTGCTACCTAGTTAAATAATTTGAACTGGTATTAATACCTGTTGTAAAACAATATTTAAACTATAGTGGCAGTCTATCATTAGAATTTCAAGATTGTGTTAACATATTTTTAATCTTAGTTTTAAGAACATATTTGGTTAGACTCCAGTATTTTATAAATCAGTTACTTTTATGACATTATTCAATATATTGTATTTGATATTTTTCTTAACAGCTCATTTTAGTTATGATAAGTAGAACCCTCGGTCCAGAGTTTGGTGGTTCTATTGGTACTTTATTCTTCGTTGCTAATATTGTTAGTAGTGCTCTCTACATCTTTGGCTGTGCAGAAGGTTTTGTCGAGAATTTCGGACCATCAGGTAGATATCATTTACATTAAATTTGTAGTTTTTTTTTTAGTCTAAATGAAAAGTATTGTTCCTTTTTAATAGTTTATACAATGTAAATATTTTATAAAATCCTTTGTTGATCATTCATTAAATAAAACAAGGTCATAACTCCAGAACTTTTTAAATAGAATGCTCTTTTTATAAACTTTAGCTATGAAAACAGCATGTTTAATTCTAAATAAAAACTTGCCAATAAACTTAATGTTGTAATTTTTTTATATAAGTATAAACATTTATTAAATATCTACTAATAATAATAAGGCTTAGCGAACCGGAAGGTTCAATGCCAATATCACCAATCAATTTCCACATTCTTCCATCCACCGGGCTTCTGTCTAAACCCAACCTTGCCAAATCAGCCTTAACACAATCTTCCCACCTTAGCTATTGTCTACCCCTCGGACGCTTGCCAGTCACCACAGCGCATGTTATCTTATGAATCCTTTTGTTACTAAGGCCAGCGATTTTATATGCCCATTTTATTCACTTCAACTTAATCATCTCAATTATATTAACTGGATACAGTTCACGCAATTCAGCGTTGTGTAACCGTCTAAATTCTCCGGTTGACTCGTCCTTTTTTGGTCCGAATATTGTGCCCAATACTTTATTTTCAAAAACCTTAAGACATTGCTCATCCCTTAATGTAGGCGGCCACATTTCGCATCCATAAAGAACCGTAGGAAGGTATAGGAAGATAATGGTTTCGTAAATTCTAATTTTTAAGTTTCAGGACAGGAGGTGAGAACTAAGTAGTTATGACAAAGAAAAATAACAAGCGTTTCCCACCTTCAACCTAAACTTAATATCCTCTTCAATTTCATTTTTTTCTAGTTGTCGTAGACCTATGCCTAAAATTCTGTACGTGTTCAAACACATTTCCTTCTATATTAATATCCTCGAGATTGTCTCTATTTTTGCAGCTAACCATATATTTTATTAAATATCTAAATATATTTGATTAAATATCTACTAATTTAGGTTATTTCAGTTAGTCAAAAATTATTTTTTATGTTCAAATTGTTGCTCATACTGTCTATATTAAAAGTACTGTCAAATAAGAAAAAATTACGCTCCTAAAAAGTATTTCAATACTTATAAATTAATGATTTTTGTTACAAAATTTTGAAAGCTTTTTTGTAATTTTTATGGTTTATTTTCAGGATATCTCACCTGGAAAGGACATGAACTGCGTGATGGCGGATGGTATAGGTTCATGTACTGTTCAGTTTTAAATTTTTTAAACCTCCTAGTCTGCCTCATTGGAGCTGGAATGTTTGCAAAAATCAGTGTTGTTATTTTCATTGTAGTCTGCCTTTCTCTCGGCTCAGTCGTCACAAGCTTTATCTATATGAATCCGTTTGAGGTAAAATTAAAAAATGTGTTAATATATAATTATTATGTTAGTATCTTGCTTCATAAACAAATTACATTTATTACTTAGTAATTATAAATTGTGGATGGAAGATTTATGAAAAATTTAAAAACATTAGAGTTCTTGATTAATTTTTTTAATTTACATTCATCAGTGAAGATTAATTTATCAAATAAAAACCTAGAAAGTCTTTAGTTTTTCTGATGCATATTTGAGATCTCCTTTCATAAATTATGAAGTAGACCAAGACCAGGAAGAGGTGCTGCTGGGTACTAATATTTCTCATGTCTAAAATGCCAATGAGATCACATCTACTTTTTGTCAAGATTATGACAGGTGTGGATAGAATTATGAAGCGAAAAAAAAAAAAATGTTAAATATGAGAAGGATACCGATGTAAGGCAAGTTGCTGACTGAGCTGAGCTCCACTATGCAATCGGTTGCCGACCCCTTCTTGCTACGCTCCGCTAAGCTGCGCTTTCGGTGGCCGGTCAACCTAATGAATTTACTTGAAATGTAAAGAAGATTTTTATCAACTATACCACTTGTATTAGAAAGGGCTTATATTTGTTTGTAATGATGATAAATATTTTGACCTAATTGTCATTTTATACTAGCCAGATTTTTTTTCTTACATAATTTTTATATCTAGGTTCCTATTCCGGAAGAAAACCAGTTGGTTCAGAATGCTACTTATCTAGTGAACGGGAGTTACACTGGTTTAGATTGGAATACTTTAAATAGCAACCTATATCAGCATTATACAAAGGATTACACTTCCAAAGACGGCAAAGTTCCTGATTTCGCTGCTGTGTTTGGTGTCTTGTTCTCTGGTGTTACTGGCATAATGGCTGGTGCAAATATGTCAGGTAAGTCGATTTAATAATTAAGATTGTAATTGAAATATACAAGCATCCGGAAATATATTGCTTCTGGCCTATATTTTATGTAATAAGGTTATAGTTAACAAAAACTTATTAAAATTATGTCTATCTAAAAATCTTACTGAAAGTATATAACTTTCTATAATTTAAACATGAACATTTAAAAAAAAATTTTTAGATCTAATTCCGGTCCTTAAATTATTTCATAATTTTAGATCTCAAATTTTTTTAATTTTGTGATTTTTTCTTATCTCTGGTCTTTTGTTACATTTTTTTGAGATTGCAATAACATGTATATGTAGATAAGAGTTAAATCATTGTTGGGTAATAAATAGTCAGGACGCAGTCATTATAAAAAAATTTTTATTTGTGCCAACGTTTCAATCCAAACATGTGTGTCATCTTCAGGGCGTGGTTCGAGCACTGAAGGCTTTCAAGTACTGTGCTTCAGTGCAGTGAAGATGACCCAGATGTTTGGGTTGAAACGTTGGCACAAATAAAAAATAAAAATGTTATAATGACTGCGTCCTAACTATTTATCACCCATGATATGTAGAACAGTCGACTAGCTTCCTTCAGTAATTCATTAAATCATTGTTGAAAATTGAGTTCACCAATATAAGATCAAATTTACTACTAGTTGTATTTCTGACAGATCAAAGAGATTAGACATATGAAGAATGTGGTCAGATAAAATAAATAAATAGAAAGGATATTTTAGGATTTAAGACATAATTATACAAATTAAGTCTCTCTTTTAAGAAAAACCTCATTTTTCATATTAATGCATTTTATTGGATAAATGATATCTAAAGGCTTTTTATTTTAATAATCCTTTTACCTTTAAGTTTTCTCTCTCTAGTTCTTTAATGATCAGATATTTATTTTAAGTCGTAGGCACACATTTCTTTTATTGCTAAGTTCCAAATATATTATTAATGCAATTTCATTTCAGGTGAATTGAAGGAACCTGGCCACAGCATCCCATGGGGTACAATGTCAGCTGTGATTTTTACGTTTGTATCGTACATCACTGTGTCCGTTCTGAGCGCCGCCACTTGTAGCCATTTCCTCTTGGCCAACAATTTCTTTTACATGATGCCGATCAACATCTTTCCTATTTTTATTACATTAGGAAGCTTGACTGCTACATTTTCTGCTTCTCTTAGCAACCTCATTGGTTCTTCCAGAGTTTTAGAAGCTCTTGCCAAAGATAATATTTATGGTAAATTGAACATTTAGTTGAAATTATTGTACTATAATTTTACTTTTATTTTTACTGGAGAATGCAATTTATAATTAAAATTAATAATGAATTTGACTTAACTTAAGGAATGGCTCGATCTTTTTATTTCAATTAATAAAATATAATTTTAAGTAGAGGTATTAGCTATATAACAATGGTTTTATTTGAATATATTTTGTAAATTCATGCTAAAATTGGCTCCATGCTTTACAAACAGGACGATTGCTCAAGTGGATCACTAGAGGAACGTGCGATGGTAATCCAGTTGCAGCCGTAGTATTATCTTGGGCACTAGTGCAGGCAATGTTATTCATCGGTTCTCTAAACGTAATTGCACAAATTAACTCAGTACTCTTCCTGTTGTCTTACTTGGCTACAAATCTTGCTTGCCTTGGTCTTGATCTTACTTCTGCACCTAATTTTAGGTAATATTATTTATTGATTTGATTCTATTAAGTTTTTGGACATTTATTGATCAATATATTTTTATTTATCTTGATATGTTGTTAGTTATTTTTATAGTAGAACTCTTAATCAAATTTTTATTATGTGAAATGTACAGAATTTGAAGTTATTCCTAACATATTGTTGAGACTATTTTAATGATTAAAAATTCTGGCCGTTTTTAGAAAATGTAAGTTTAGGATTAAAAAAATGGAGAAGAGGAGAAGAAATGTACATGAAATCCATGTAATGAGTCGTGTCTATTCAAAATTGAAGATCCTAAATCACTGCAGTGCTATTTCAAGTTAAGCCAGTTAAACAACTTCCTTACTTTAGCCTCCTCCATTTGTATTGATTCGGATTAAACTAACTAGTGTAAGCTCGTGAAAATTTGGAAAAAGTACTGACCAGGTAAAATAGCAGTGCAATATAGGTAGACAGCTCTCTCCAGGTGATCTACTGGTATTCTAGTTGGAGAAATACAAAACTTATAACTTGTAACTTACAGTAGAAGTCACAGGTGTCTTACTCCATGGATGGGACATGGCATAGGTTTTTGAGAGGAAGTAGAGTGCAGGCTGCATATATATGTGGCAGAGGAATAGAGGTATGGGCATTGCTGCCCATATGTATATGGGTTACAGTTATTTGAGAATTAACTTTATTTGAAATAGAAATAGAAAATCATCTTTATTCTTTGACTAGGTCCCTTAAGAATAACAATAATATTGTTCATATAAATTAACAATAAATCTGGCAAAAACCTATTACAATAAAGAATAACTAAAATACTAGTAATAAATTAAGAATAATACCTCTTAGGATATATTAACGAAAACAGTTGTGTTATAGAGTTGCAATACTACAATATTAGAGCTAAAACAATGACATATAATCACTAAATGAAATTAGAAAGGAATGCTAAATCAATTTTATAAGCAAAGCATTGTAGTGATGGAATATAAAAATTTAATAAAATATAACTGTTGATATATAAAAAAATAAATTGTAAAAAAAAAAAATGATTTACATATGTTCCTTAAGATGTTTAATTGAATACAGGTAAAGATATTTGATTCAATGTATATAAATTAATTACCATTATGAAAACTTTGTGGTGCTTTGAAGCATATTTATATTAAAATACAAGATCTGAAAACTTGCCTTGTACATTTTTGAATTATTAAGGGAATGAGTCAGTGATGTTGTTAATTAATTATATTTTCAGGCCTTCATTTAAGTATTTTTCTTGGTGGACTGCTTTAATTGGGCTGATAGGTAGTTTAGTTATGATGTTTGTGATCAACGCCCTTTATGCCGTGTCATCTATTGTGCTCTGCTTCTTGTTGATTGTCCTGCTTCATCTTTTCTCACCATCCTCTCAAACAGCAGGTTGGGGATCACTCACACAGGCGTTGATATTCCATCAGGTGAGCTCTACTACCATCTTGCTTATATATTGGCTTGTCTATTAAACTTCGATTATTTCAAGTCATCAATTTAGAAATGGCCTCAGATAATCGAAAGTAGAAAAAATGACAAACCAACATTTTAATTAAACTAACAGTGTAAACTTTTGTATTTATTGTTTCCTATAGTAATTTATTATTTAATTCTCAGTTTATATCAAAATTCTCTATTTTCATTGTTATTTTGGAACTTCTCAAACTAAAAATAAATTACTTTTTAGTGTAAATACCTTATACATTGTTCGTGCACTGTCTAGAAAGTAACATACCTTTCAGCCAAGTATGAGGGTGGATTGAACTACCTAATCCTGTCATAAATATTGTTACAAGGAAATATATACAGATTTTGACAGAAAAATTAATTTTTTCAAAAATTTTATTAGTAAATAAAATGTATATCTATAGAGTAGTGGTGGGGTATTTAGTAGCAATCTATTTAATTTAAGCAGTTCCATTCATTAAACAGCTACAGTAAACTGTTTCACTCGAGATAAAACAGATACAAGGATTACCTTCCATTAGGAGGGGGCAAGTTGTTAAAATCAGCGCTGAGCTCATCGATGCCATCGAATAGATCTCTAAATGAAGCAAAACGAAGCCATCGATGAACTCAGTGCTGAGTTAAGGAACCTACCCTTATATCCTATAGGAGCCTACCCAAGACAACTCACTTTACAGGTTAGTAGGTGGAGATAGCAATCCCAACGGGAAAAGAAGGAAACACTGAATCTGTTTAATTTAAACAGATGAGGAAACAGCTACAGAAGCTGTTTAATTTAAACAGATGCCGAAACCTGTTTCATTTAAACAGCTTCTTGCAACAAATACAGAAACAATTCTCAGTTCAGTTATATTTGTTCATTATTTTCACTAATAAATTTATATAAACCTTTAAAAAATGTTTAATTCAAAATTATAATTTTAATGTCACTTTGACTTTACCAGCACTTTTTTTACTTTTTTTTCTAGTTGATATATTATGGTAAAATTAAAAAAATGATTAAATTTATGAACATTTAAATTGATAATTGTTCTGAAAACACTTCACCCTACAAATATTATGACCTTTTTTTTTTTTTGTTTTGCTTGTAGAATTTCAAAACAAGTCATATTTGTTTTTTGAAAGTAGCAGATACTTTTTTTTTTTTGGTCCTCCCCTTCCTCGCTATTAAGGCTATACGGGGTTTTCCCGGACCAGGGAGTGAGGGCAGGGATTTAAAAGACTCCCTCGGCACTGGGACACTAACTCGTGACTATTTTTATATATGAGGTTGCCGGGCAATGGCGGTGCTGTGCACACGCGTTAACCCATTCGGCCACCCCACCCACCTAAAAGTAGCAGATACTGTTGCAACTGTTACTGATGTTAAACAGTTTTGCCCATCACTACTAAACAGAGTAAAACAAAACAGAAATTACTCAAAATGTCTCCCTTTTGCCTTGACACAGGCATTTAATCTCTGTGGCCAGTCATCAATAGCAGCAAGCAGCACTTCTTGAGGAAAGCGCTCAACTGCTCGGACCAGAAATTGTTTGAGGTTTTCCAAGTTAGAGTGTGCTCTGTGGCATGCCATCCTTTCCAGTTTGGACCAAAGCCGATAATCTAGTGGGCAGAGATCAGGGCTAATCCGAGGCAGAGATGAACCCTGGAATGTTCTCTTGCAGCCACTGCTGAGTTGACCTGGCCTTGTGAGCTGAAGCGGAATCCAATGACTTCCAGCAAACACAGTATTTGAGGCTTGACAACAGGTTCCAAAATATTGTCTTGATAGTTTTTAGCGGCATTTCACAAAAATGGAGCTTTTGATGCCATTAAACCAAACTCCCCACCAAACCATCACTGAGGAAGGGTGATGACCTCTTTCCAGACTTCCTGGGCTTCTTTAGAGCTGTGAGCATATACACGATGATTTTGGCGATAAAATTTTTCTTCAATTCTAAAAATTTTCTCATCACTAGACGAAATCTTTCGCTGAAGACCATTGGTGTAACGGCCAAGGAGCATTTTTCATCTATCCACTCTAATTTTTTTAGGGAAGTGGTTAAGCCTTTGTTCTGTCATTGTTCGAAATGCACCCATCCTAAGGTCACTTTTTATTATGCGATACCTTGATCTGACAGAGATTCCCATTTCCCAAGTACACGAACATACGGCTGGTTTTCAAAGTGTTGAAAATCTCTGACCTACATTTTCCAACTTAGTGTAAGGCGATCACAGCTATTCGGTTTTCTTTATCACCCCACTCCATGTTAACTGAGCGAAAGAAAAATACAAACTAATTGGAATTATTATATAAAGAAAATAACCTGATAGAGGTAAGGATTATCTAAATAATACCCAAGGATGTAAACAAAGTACAACTTTTGTAACAGTGTTTATGGCAGAATTAGGTAGAGTGTCATATTAAATATTTACAACTTGCAATCTTTTGCATTAGGAGGCACATTCCAGGTTGGGTAACTCATCTGATATGATACTGTGTACCTCATCTGACTGTTTATTCATTTCTTTTGTTTTGTCCTACTGATTGTATTAAAATACCTACTTTTATTATAAAACATGATTTTTCTATTTCTAAAAAGTAAAAACATTTTCGAAATTTTTTCCAGGTACGGAAATATCTTCTGATGTTGGATTCTCGAAAAGATCATGTTAAATTTTGGAGGCCTCAGGTTTTGCTTCTTGTTGGGAATCCAAGGAGCTCTACACCACTTATACATTTTACTAATGACATGAAAAAATCAGGTTTATATGTTTTGGGTCATGTGATAGCTGGAAAAGAATTTTCGGAATTTCCGACCGATCCTGCTGGTATACAGTATCCCCATTGGCTCTCACTTGTTGACCATTTGAAAGTGAGTATTACCATTATTTACTTTGGAATAAAATTTAACTCACTAACTGATTCTACAATGTATTGGCTGAGAGTATGAAATCCATTCAGTGCCATCAAAAGCACTGATGACTTTTTTTTATATTCAATATTTTTACAGCTTTTGAATGAATTATTAAATTGAATGTTATGAAAATAACATTTCTTTTGAGAAGACAAATTATGTTATTTATAAATATATGATACAAATAATTAATTTTCAGTAAATATAAGTAAAATAATTATAATATAAAATTATAATTTTGCAGGTAAAGGCTTTCATAGAGCTTACTGTGGCCAGGAGTGTTCGTGATGGTCTTAATCATCTTTCGCATTTAGCTGGGCTTGGTGCTATGAAACCGAACACAATTGTTTTAGGATTCAGAGATAATCAAAAGCCTCTTGATCTTTTTCAAATGTGAGTATGGTTATTTTATTTTTAATTTCAGTAAAAAAAAAAAAAAATTATCGACTAATAAAAATTTTACAATGTTCCAGTCCTGGTTCTGAATTTCTGACTGATAAATTTGAAAAGGAAGATGAATCACTTTTCCCATTGAGGGATAGTGAAAACCAAGTTGATTATCAAGAATATGTTTATCTTATTAGTGACATACTGAGAATGCAAAAGAATATTTGTATCGCGAGAAATTTCCAGAACTACAGTAAACTTCAAATCAAGTAAGGTCTTTTGTTGTCAAAGCTTGTAAATGTTGGTTTTTAAGATACCCTCTAATTACTGGTTAACTCTTTCACATTACTATGTATTCTTTATTTAAATTCTGGAGCAGGAGTCCCCAACCTTTTTCTATTTAAGAGCACGTTTATAGGTGAACAGTCAAATGGCAGGCACCAATTTAGAGCAAGGTGCTCTGAGCTAAATTCACGTTTTTAAACAATTAAAAATTTTATTTGTTAGTTACATTGACACTGAATGTGTTAAAAATTTCTATCTAAAATTCTCAATATCCTAAAAAATCAGGATTTAATATTTCCCACATATTCTAATAAATCTCTGATCCTAAGTGGGCTGTATTTCAGATTAACATATGCAGAATAGATATGATTATAATTAAGTAATGTAAAAGAAACTTGATACATCATAGACTTTACTCGGCACCTTTGTTGTACTTGGATATAAGGCAAAGGCATGTTTTTTATGACATTTTAGTGGATGTGTATTAAAAATGACTTATATTTTTATAGACAGCCTAGTTGTACATAAGAAGAGTGAATTTGGCATTTCATGAGAAAAAAAATGTTTGTCTTAAGTATTGCTTTCATCGGGTCGCCTCTCAAAGTTAATGACACATTTTTTGATGTGAAAAATTGGTGATATTTACAATGAAAATTGTATATGCATTGCCTTAAAATCAGTCTGTTTTTAATTTTTTTAATTTGAAATAATTAACCATTTCATATTGTAATCTGATATAAAAAAATAGTTAAATATAAAATATTAAAGAATTTGATTTATGTATCATTTTTTTTTTTTTTTTTTTTGAGGCACCCTTGGTATCCACACCGCCTCAATTATTTGTGCTACAATTATTTTTAATTTTTTATTAATCCGTCCTGTATATCATTTTTACTGTTTGTTTTGTTTATTTGTTATAAAAGGGGTTTCAGAGTATAGAATTTCAGTACTAATTTTACTAAATTAAAGTAACTATAAACAGATTTATAGGAAATCTTCATTTTTAGTTTGTAGTAGCTATATATAAATGCATCTATTATATTTTATATTATAAACAATTAATTTTTTTAAATTCTTTTTAGATCTGGTGCTTACAAGTACATTGATGTTTGGCCAGTTAATTTTTTCAAGCCTTCTATGAATGAACTTTTTGATACGACTACCTTATTCATGCTGCAATTAGCATGTATTGTCAACATGGTGAGAAGTTTTGAAATTTTTATTTGTTGTTTTCCCCTGTATTTAATGAAGGCCCCTTTCACACTGAAGATGCACGTGTCCAGGATGCAGGATGTATGTACGTCTTGCATCTTGATAGCTTTCACACCAAGGATGCACATGCCTCTTGCATCTTCTGTTTATATCCATTATTGCTATAAGTTTAGAATATGAGTTCGAAAGGTCATCTCTTCAGACGACAAAATTATAATTTTAATAGTAATTGATATTGAAATAAGTATATATATTTTTGCCGACTCAAATAAACTATAACTACATAGTTCTATACCTGTTGATTTGAATATTTGTGCCAGGACCTTACATGATTTCTCATGTTCATCCCTGTTTTACTTGTAGTATCATATATTTTAGGATTGTCTTTAACTGCTTTAACAAAGGTCACATTGAAGTTCTCGGTGACAGGTAACTTAATTGAAGGGTTGATGGAAGTTTCGTACTTAGAAAACAATGCCTAATTACAGTATGAAATGAAACTGTGAGAGTCAGGCGAGTCTCTAGATTCTAGGAGCTCGTGGTTCTTAGTAAATATTAATCAACTAGGAGGGCATAAAAAGGGATGAGATAACACATAGAAACGTTGATCATATACAAAACAATAAAAACCAATGGATGATAAAGTTCACAATATGATTATCTTTATTTATATATTACTTACTTTTTTTTTCAGTAATAATTTATTGCAATTTTGTCATATAATTTTTAATATGCAATAAAAAATTATTAAGAAAAATAGGTAAAAACATATGGAGCAATAATTGAAAATCAGAGCAAAAAAAAAAACCTATAGTTGAAAATAAATTTAACAATGGATAAAAAAAACAATAACTTTAAACTTTTATTATGATATTTACAACTGTATTAGTATAAATACATCAAGTAAATTTGTACAGAGAAATATTATTACATGAAACACGCTTGTTGAGAAACTACCCACTGGTAGCACTCTATAAAAAAAACAAAAAAAAACAATAACAATACTTTATAATAAAAAATCAATTGATAGAGGCGTCAGTTACAAGAGCTTAGAGGAAATTATTAAGGGAGAGGACAGACCAAGCTTTGGCGGTGTAAGCTGACCGTACCCGATGATTGCTCCCCAAAAATATTTTGTTTTGGGCGGGCCGAGGTGGAAAGGGCGGGTATTCATAACCAGCATAACAAAGATGCAAGCTAAAAATCTGCAACCGGCTGGTTCCCAAGATGCAACCAGGGTGCAAGACACACTTGCATCTTCAGTGTTTAAGGGACCTAAGAGTACCCACTTCATAGGAGCTGGGGATGCCCAAGGAGGGTCTCCTGATCAATTCAAATTTATAGTTTATTTACACAAATTGAAATTATTGTGATATTATTTATTTTTTGATAATTTTTAACTTCTGAAATTTCATTAATGCGATTCATAACTCATATTTATATCATACTAAATTACAGGTCAATGGTTGGAAACACCTGAGGGTTCGAGTTTTACTTTGTGAAGGCCAAGGGCCTACTTCAGGAATTACTGATTTCAGTTTGCGAAGAGCTCCAAATACTGAGTTCAAACAACTTCTAGAAAGCTTGAGGATAAAAGCTGATATAGAAACAGTAAGTTACTGAATTATAAGCTTCATTCTATAAACATTATTTTTCAAAAAGTGCTCAGACATATTCAAAGATCATTAATTGATTCTTTGTTATTCTAATTATAATAAAATCTCCCAAGATCTCCACATATCCATTGACCAACAGAAACTCACCATCCTTATTCTCCTTGATTTCTCCAAAGCCTTCGACTCAGTAGATCACAATAGTTTTCTAACCAAACTTAAAAATGTCTCCTTGTCCTCTAGTGCTCTTAATAAGTCTCAGTTCTTCCTCACCAGTCACTTCCAATATGTTGTAGTCCCTAACAATCCTCCTTCAGAGTCCTTCTCCATGTCCAGAGATGTTCCACAAGTATCTCCCACTCTTTTTCCCATCTATATCAATGACCTTCCATCCACTATCCTGCACTGTCTATACCATCTGTATGCGGCGACATCCAAATTTATCTTTCCTTTCTGGCTGATTCCTTTGGTACCATCCTAAAACTCCAAGAAGACATCAACAGAATATGCACTTGGACAAACCTCTATAATAGGCTCACTCTAAACACCGAGAAGATAAAAGCAATCCTGATCGGATTCCTCTCACCCTTCAAAACCATTCCTGCACCTACCAATCTTCTTCTGAACTACAAACTTATCTCATTATATACTTCCATCAAAAACCTTGGAGTTACGTTTGATCAAATCCTCTCTTGAAAAGCACTCATCTCTCAAATTTTTGGTTTCACCATTTCTACCCTGAAACAGTTCAACCGCCTGCACTTTTCCCTTCCAATCAAAACCCGTCTACTCCTGGTTTCTTTTGTTTTCTCCCGCTTTAACAACGGCTGTATGGTCTACGGTGACTCTTGGGAGAACTTGAAGCCAAACTTAAACATCTAATGAATTATTGTATTATACTGAGTTGAAGTGGTTCTATCTATCTTACTGCTGTCAGTACTTCCTTGCCACCATTCTATACCAGGCTATAAGTTAGAACTAAGCAACCCTACAATATGTTTTAGAGCCTAAAATTTAAATCTTCCATTCAATCCCGTCCCACCGAAATGGTGCGTTCGACAAATTCCTTCTTGTCTAATAGCTATCTCTCAGAAATTCTATTCCTCCCGATATTCATCACACGCAATCAGTTTCCTCTTTAAGCATCTATTCCTTTCCCAATTAGAGTTATCATGAACTAAAAGCAAGAGAACTGTCCTAATAACCCCAGGAACTATTTTCTTTACTCATTTTCTTTTTCGAAGCTTGTTTCATATATATGTATGTTTTTTTTCTCTCCTTCTTATTTGTCTTTATATTTACTTATTATTTTGTAAATATTTAATTTAATGTATGACCACACTCTGGCATGTCTTATTTACTCAATATATTTAATTTATTCTAAAGGGACTACAGTCCCAGGATAATCAAAGTATTTTCATTTCATTTCTATTATTACTCTTTTTGTTTATTAAAAATTATCAATTTCTCATTAATATTATTTAATTACAGGTAGAAACTTGGTCTAGAGTAAAGGCTTTTTTGAGAGGAAGTGAAGTTGCATTAGATAAAAATAATGAAACTACAAGTATATATTTGACCAAGTATGTCTTCTTTTATATTTTTTTATAATTATCTTTTATTTTATTTTTTTTGTTTTTTGACGAAGGAATATTGTCTGAATTAACCAAATCTCCTCAGTTTTTAATTTTTGCTATCTCAGTTATCTGAACTAGTTTTTATATGGGAGTGTTCAAAAAAACTGAATACAATAAAAAATATTTAAAATTTCCTAATATCAAATTATTATAAAAACTTTTCTTTTTTAATTAATGTAGAATTTCAGTAATCAATTTATCTGTTGTAGTGTGAACCAGATGATTAAAGCCAAATCAGGTGAAACTGCTATCAGTTTTCTGTACCTCTCAACGCCTCCTCAAGACGCTAACTATTACGCTGATTACCTTGAACACCTGACCCTACTAACGGAGGATCTGCGACCATGCCTCCTAGTTCATGGCATCAGGGCTGTCACCTCGACCACACTCTGACATCAGCTCTTCTTCCGCCATCATTACCCTGTTAATGTTCGATTTTAGTTATTTATGTGCTATTTAAAAATTTTATAGTTTATTCAATCCAAAGGACTGCTTAAGCAATTGAAAAAGTGATTATTTTGTTATATGTGTATGTGGGTGTGAAATATATACACGCACATACATAAGACATATATATATATATGAAGTTGTATCATATATATTTTCCTATTTTTATATGTAAATCTTTCTGTTAATTTAATGTATTGTTGTTGTATTCATGTTTCAAAGATGTAATAGTACGTTTTAAGTGTTACGATTGCCACTTCAAATATAATTTAATGATCTATTTAATAGATTTATCGTTTACTATTATGCATTTAGTTTTAGGCGATAGATACTTATTGAAAGGTATTTTTGGGTGTATTAGCTATCAGTTCATAACCAGTTCCATGATAGTATTGTTATTGAATATATAACAATGTTAGTTAGTAAAATATAATTTTAAACAAATGACAACCTTCAAAAATTAATATGTTAAATGTGTAAACTTATTTAAAAAATAAACATATGATTTTTTTAAACACTTAATATACTTCATTGAACACTCACCATCTTATCAAGTCAATCAGACTTCATGAACTGCAGTGGAATAACAATTTTGAAATAAGCAAAATCATCATTGTTTAAATTACATAAAATGAAGTGTGATTTCCTATTCATATTATTACATTTGATCACACTATTTATTTACAGTTTAAATTGGAAAAATCCTGAACTTTGGCTAGTTCATTGACACCCTATATTAGGAGGCAGACAGAACCATTTGTATAGGCACAGAAAATATTCTAGACTGTGAGGGCACAAATAAAAATTATGCATTTATTAAATTTAATACATAGGGATGGTGAAAATACTTCAAGGAACATAAAGGACTTTTTTATGGAATTTCAATAAAATAATATAATAAATTATATTTCTTAAAATAAAATATTAACAATACTAAATTGAACTATTAAGAGCTTTGTATTGTCAAAATTATGCACTAGCATAGCCTAAATTTTGCGACCCACAACAAGTGTTAAGAACCACAATTTCAAGTACAAAATTTAGAATCAATTCTGGAAAATAGTATGTCAAAATATTAGTAAATATTTATTGTTGTTTTTTATATACTTCTTAAACTAAACTTAAGTGTTTTTTTTTTTTTTTTATTCCTCTTATAAGAAAAAAAAACTAACAGCTATATTCCAATTTAGAAAAAATGGTATTTATTATCTTCTATAAATGACATTAACAATAGTAAATTTAGTAAAAGATTAAGCATTTAATATATAAATACAGATAGGAAAATCAATCAATTTTATATAAAAAAACAAACATTAAATCCATTGCAATAATAAAAAAATTATCCAGTAATAAATATTTCATTTCAAAACACAATAAGTTAGACTTTTATTAAAATTAAGTAATGACACAAATGTTTATCGGAGATCATTCTCTAGGAAATTGATTTAAATGTTTACAGAGAATTTCGTTCATTTTTGAAGGAGGGACCATATCCAGAATGAAATCCTTGAGATTACTATTTAATGCAGGGCTTACTAGAGTTTTACTATGATTTACTACAAATTCTAGTAAATTTTTAAAAAAGAAATTTTTTACGCTCCAAGGTTGCACTTCAACTTTAACATCAGGAAAATCCATATAAGTCACAATCTCAATTGCTGTCGAACATTTTGGCAATGATATATCTATCGTGCCACTTAAAAGAATATTATTTTTTGGAACTGTCAGTTTCAGACTACCTGAATTCTTAAAAACATCAAAAAAATCTGATTTGAAGTCGTATTGTAATGAAAAATTTTCCAAACCTACTCCTAGAGTCCAATACAGCCTCCGTTCACTTTGTGGTAAAATAGAAGACTTATGAAGTTCAATAGAAGAGAAGTCTCTCATTTGTCCATTAGATAAACTCACAGAGGTGAATGGTAAATTTATAGGAATGTCCATGAGTTTGTGAACATCAAACTGATTGTCTTTTATATACTGATTGATATCAGAAATAACATTAACAAATATACCATCAGTTTCACTGGCTGTTCCGACAAAATTATATCCTCGATGAAGACTACTAGCACTCAATAATGAAGCACAGCTATAGATAAAAAATAAAATTCTAATCATGGTTAAAGACACCAACTACATACATATAAATCAGCTACCACTACACTGAGAAAATCATAGCTCATGAGGAATTATAACAAGGAGCTCTCAAAAGATAACTATCTCATAATGCTACAAAGTCCGTAGTAAGAAATCAATATCTAAAACAAACACTCATAAATCACTGAGAATCAGAATGGCTATACTCAGAGCTAATACATTTATGTCTAATCATGATTAGAAATTAAGTAGAATAACCAGAAAAGTCATTATACTGTATAAATTGATAAGCATCATAAATTATATAGAAATAATAGTAATTTATAGATGATTTATAATAAAGCTTAAAATAATACAGTGAACATGAATGATTATATGTAATTGAGATTTTTAGAGATATTTTCAGCTGAGGGAATCAAATCTGTCCTTTCCTATTAACACAATAGGTTCCATGAATCATAAAATTAGTATGAAATGAAAAATATAGATCTTGGGTTTTTTTTTTTTAATTGCCATTGGTAATTTGAACTTGTAACAAAGATATTTATTCTTGCAACACTATAATTTAAAGTCAGGGCTCTTGTCTTAATAATTTGAAGTGCCCACTTCGATGAATGTTTTGAGTATACACAGAACTGTACATTGTTCACATATATTAATTATTAAAATTAATATTGTTCAGTTTGCTGTTAGCTTTAAAATAAAGATCACCCACTTTCATTCATTTGAATTTTTCTTCCCCCTCCCCTTGATTTTTTTAACTCCTATTATTTTGAACTCAAGATCATTTGAACTTGTTCTGTGGTCCATTAGTTTAAAATAATTGAGTCAACTATAATGAGCAGCAAAGATGTTTTTTACATCTCTTAAAAAATTCTAAGGGAATTCCACTTCATTAAGAAAAAATATTATGGGCCCACAAATGAAGGGTTTGGTGCAAGAAGGAGGCAGCTCCACTTTTTGCAATATGTAGCAAATTTAAAAAAAAAAAGTTTTCAATTTTCACCGAAACCAAAAAATATTCAGTCTTTTGTCAGGTTATGGGGTATCAAACACAATTGACCAGAATGCACACAAATGCATGCGCTCAGGTACGTGCAATGGAACTTTGAATTTTGGAGCTGCCTCCGTTTTGCTCCGAAGTGAATGAGAAACCCTTTGTGGGACCATTTTCTCCAGAATTAACCATATTTCAGTTTACAAAACAACGAGAAAGTGCAAGACCATCAGCATAATACATCAATATGTACAGTTCTTCTTCAGTCTTCCAGCTGTCCCTCAGTCTCCTCAGGATCGTTTGAAGCATCTGACATCAACTGATCCTAAAACCACATTTAGTTTTTCCCAGCATACTTTCTGCCCAGCTCATTGACATCTTTAAACTTTTGCTCTTTAAGCGGGACAAGACAATCATAAGCTTGATGAAAGTGGTCCAGTGTTATGAAACCTAAAAGTCCTTGGTTGCAAATTTGCGCATTATTGAAGTCAGTCATCCCTACGGTCAGGTCACACTGCAATGAATAATGCCTTTACAGATATATGGCTGTTAAAAGAGGGATAGTTTGTACTTAGTGATTAAATATTTATCGTTTTGAGGAAGAACGAAGCAGCTCCATATGCCGGATTCTCTCGAACTAGCGGGTGGAGCTGCTTCATTCTTGTACCAAACGAAGCGGCTTTTTCTTTTGTATGTGATAGGATGTGCAACTCAATAGAGGCACAAAGTGGAGCTGCCTCCTTCTTGCGCCAAACCCCTCACTATAATTACAACAGCAACAAAACAATTTTCAATTAAACCACAGGATGAAATTAAATCAAAATTGCATGAATAAGGGAGAGTAGTTTAATTCAAACAAAAATTATAATCTTCTTATTATACAAATATTATTCACAAATAATATAAACAAGAACAAATATTTACATAACACTGTACACAATCATACTCAGTGAATATGAGTACTTTAATTAATGGATAGTAATTCAAGAATTGTCCAAGCTTGAATTAAATTTCCAGATCATCATCAGGGTCTTCGTCGTCCCAGTCATCATTAGCATCTGGTTCATAATAAATCCGTCCTTTACTCTCTTTGTTACTTGTCCTAAAATAGTAAAGGAAAGCATTTAATAAAAACGTTAGAAAATTTATATTAATCAAACAAGAGATATTTAACATGGAGTATTACTTGATATATGGAAGAATGACTTGTCTTCTGGATTCTTTCTCTTTTTCTTCCAATGTTAATTTAAATGTAGTTTTAACTAAAATATTATCGCTTTCAGGCTTTTTATTCTTTGGAGGATCTTTTATAATTTCATATTGGAGTTCTTTAGTAGAGTTATACTGACAGCTGTAAGTCTATAAAAATATATATGTGAAAAAAGGTGCAAGATTTATATAATCTAGGATAACTGCTTCTAACCCTAATCATTACACACCAAAACAAAAATTTAATAACTGATTTCATTGAGAAATGAAATAGCAGACATTTAACATGTTTTATAGACTATTATATATCATTGTGTTTTTGAATATTATGAACTAAACGTGCCCCCTCCTCTCACGCTGATGGTTTCTCATAGGTTAAATTTAGATGATTTATGCCTCTAGCATATATATATATATATATATATATATATATATATATATATATATATATATATATATATATATATATGTATATATATATATATATATATATATATATATATATATATATATATATATATGTATATATATATATATATATATATATATATATATATATATATATATATATGTATATATATATATATATATATATATGTATATATATATATATATATATATATATATATATATATATATATATGTATATATATATATATATATATATATATATATATATATATATATATATATATATATATAAGAAGTGCTTCTAAAACTAAAACCGAGTACCAGAATTGGGTAGTAGGCTAGTTTGGGTAGCATTAACATACAGGCTAATTTGGGTAATAGGTAATAAGCTAAAAGCTTCAGGTATTCATGACCCGATGCATGGGAAATAAGGTCACTCAAACACACCAGGTAGTAAGGTCACACACACACACAAAGTATCCAGTGTTATGCAGAGATATTGTGCCATAGACAATTATTTCTAAAATTTAAAAAAAATGTTAAGTCCAGTTTCCTAAAACCCATAAATGTAAATAAAATAAAAGTGAAAATACAGCGTATAGGGAAAGAAAATATATACAGTAATAAACAACAAAAGTACATTAGAAATAATAATAAAATGAAAAAGATGATAATAATAATTATGAGGAAAATACCACTAAAATGACTCTGGAAAACATTTAAAATATAGGAAAATGTGATTTAGTATAAAATGAAATTAATTAGACTGGGTGAGGAAAAGATGGTTAAAGAGAAGAGGTTTGAACGAGTAAACCATTGAATCATGCAGGATAATAGACCAAATGGAGTTACAGAAGGAGGTAGCTTAGGTTAGGAAGTACCTGATAGGGAGCTATTTAATAATCACTACCTGGTAATAAGGTCATCCAAACAATAGCCTTAAAACTAAAAAAACTGATTATAGTTAAGATCATACTGTCCAGCAAGTTCTGCTTGTACTTGAAAAATTCCTACTGGAATTCTAGTAAATTTTTCATTTTTATTTAAAAGAATCACTAATCATTTCTAGCAATAAGTGAAGATATGTAGCAATATTAAAATATTTAAATTTAAATTTAAAAGCTGAAAGTGTTAGCAGATCAGATTTAGTTATGGAAGAGTCTATACCAACTGCCTATTTCATACTTAATCCTAGTTGGAAGTTTATTAAAGAACAGATATTACCTCTTTTTGAAATTTTCCATTGAGCTGCCTATAAACCAAATCCAACATGGTTCTCTTATCAGGTTCTAATCTTAAATTTATTTGAGTAGTAGCAATATAATTTAAATGCTTAAATTCTTTGGAGTCTTCAGGAAGGAGTTCAGAATGTAAAAGAGTAACAACCTGGGCGACAGGAATATCTGAAGAAAAGGTTTTTAAAAAATTGTTTACTTTCACAGCTTTAAAAAAAAATTTATATATATATATATATATATATATATATATATATATATATATATATATATATATATATATAAACAATTGTAATATAAATATCTTTAATACAAATACATAACAATGAATCGAGCAGCAACTATTTAAAATTGATGGCTAGGCAAAATGCTGGTTATTAAAAATGTTAGAAATAAATTGTTAAAAAAACTTGTTATCACCTTTATTGTTAGCAGTAGTTAATTTTCTAATACAACTGCAGAAGGTATGCAGATCAACATAATTCAAAATGCTAGCAATTGAATCAATCAAAATTAAAACAGGCCCTCCTGATGTCAAACTTTGGTTAAAAATGTTGTCAACCATGAGTTCAAAATTCTTTTGGTCATCTATAATATAGAATTAATACAAATTAATAATTTTCAAAATTGATTTTCATCAGCATATTCATGTTATACATCACCATTAATGGTAAGTAATCTCCAAGGATCAGGAAAATACTTGTGAATCACAATATTTGGGCTTAAATCAAAATTGGTCACTTCATATTCACTCAATATCAAGTGAATTGCAACATTTCTCGCTTTTCCTTCTTCGATAAAGCTCTTTAAAATCGCTAAACCGTTGAAGTTGATGTTATCTATAAAAAAAAAAAATAATAATAATAAATTCAAATCTTTTACTGGAAAAATCATATGAGAAATAATTCAAAGTCATAAGGGTAGGAAAGAAACAATAATAACAACAAAGGTAAAATTTGTAATTTACGGCCAGATATGATTGACTAATCATTCTTATAGTAAACTTAAAAAAGTAAAAAGAACTTTCAGATGCGATTCAGTTGATACAAATGACCAATACTTTTATACAATTAATTAGCTGAATGCATATTAAAACAATCTCACCACAGCATACACCTAATAAAGAAGACAGGACTATATGAGTTATGTGCTTGTTAAGTCCAATATGTGCTGCTGTTCTAAAATTGTAATTCAAGATCCAACCTACACGTAAAATGTTTCAGTGCTGGATTCATAAGTGGTTGGCTTATAACACACATAATCGAGTGCCTACTTCATAAAAAGGACTAAACAACTAGAATAGGACAACAAAAGATGGTAGGAAGTGGTATAAGATAATTGTTCAATACCTATCCTCGAGTCATCATAGTCATAAATTTTCTATGTATCTATTGCCATCTTTACACAGTTTCGAATTATTATTGCTATATAATAATGATTCTTGCCCTTAAATTCCATCAAGACACCTTATCTCTTCCCTTCAGGCAACAACTTCTAATTAAAACACAAGCGATTATTAACTTCAAATAAAATTAAATTTCTTATAATATTGTTTATGTATCTATAAAAATGTTTATGGCCCCCAAATATTTTACATATACATGAGTGGTACCATATCAAAGATGAACGTCTATCGTTTTCAGAAAGTGAAGAAAAAGTCGATTTTTTGCTTATTTGTCCAACTCATACTGTTTCTGATGATCTTATCTAAGAATGATCAAGTTGAATTAAGAAAAAGAGTCATTAGAATTGGTTTAAATAGAAGCTATGTCACAAAAATTGGCTTTTTCTCAACTTTTTAAAAATGACATATGTCAGTCTTTGATATGAGGCCATTGATATATATAAATATATATCTATTTGTATTACACATCCATAACTTGACATAACCCTCAAGAGCAATATAATTTTGTGTACTAATTTACAAGTGTTGCTTCACTTTGATCGATGGCACAAGATCTCAGCCTACACTATAAATGGAATTCTGAGAATACCCAATGTGTGCTAGATAGCATGTAATTAAGGCTGATAAAAGCTAATCCCTGATTTTAATTTAAAAGGACCAGTTGAGTTTTCATAACATATAAATTGCAATATAAAAAAAGGGAGGTTATACTATGAACACTTCATCTATACTGGGCCATTCTCAGAATTCCATTTATGATGTGATCCTAAGATCTTGGCCCACCAAACAATGTAGAGAAATACTCGTAAATAAGTGACATATTTTCATATTCCCAATCTTTTATTTTATGAAAAATTAATTTACTTAAATGCCATTCCCTCTGAACAGGATTTGTCACTAGTCCAAGTTGAATCAATGACAGCTGGTTTTCAGATGGGTCTATATAATATTACACATAGAAACCTGAATGAATGAAACACATAGAAAAGTAGCTGAGTATGTCTCAGAGTAAACAGTTGTAATCAATGTTCGCACTTTCCTAATAACAAAATTCTGGAACGAATTTTATCATAAATTGAAAAGACTGCTCAGTAAAAACTACAATATCAACAAAAAAAAAAGGACATTTAGGGAAAGGGGAGTATGTTCAACCATTTCAGAGTATAGGGAATCAATCCATAAACATGGTTATAAACACTCAGCTTTCTTAACTCTATCTAAAGTATGATCGATTAGAACTAGACTTTTCAGTGAACTAGCACCAAATTTACTTTAGGATAATGCTAGGTAAACATTCAAACGACAAAACCATTCATAAGATTAATCTATCATCAGAAACCTAGAATGTTTTGTTGTTTTTATAGCCAAGAAGGGCCTGTTGTAATTTGTTTATTTATAATAAAAATATAACTCAGTAATGAAATGAATTAAATTTAGGACAGATTGATTCATATTTCAGTTGAGGGTTTGATGACATTAAAATAAAAAATCAGTGTTACCTTTGATAATCACAAAATCAGATCTCTTCCTACCGGCAAGAATTTGTTTTAGTAACATCTTGTAAATTAAATATAAAATAAACAAAAACCATGAAGGGAGAAGGTTGCACTGTTATACTACCTCCAGCCAGTGTTGCCAGCAGAACACATATTTTTTTCCATAAACTTACCTAATTTAATTTAAGTTTTTTTTTATGAAGTGGAAAGGCACTAAACACAAAATTAGAAAATAAAAGAGTAGGAAAACATAATTTATTATAGAATTGTAAAATCATTCAACTGAGATGAAAAAAAAATATTTTCAAAGAATACAATTGAATACGATTTTTTAAATTGGAATTCTGCAATTCGATGAAAAGCTATTGAATTATATTTTAATTTTGCCTTTAAAAAACGAAATTCTAGCAATTACATCATAATGAGCACAGATTTTGACATCAATTGACGAAAAAATATCTTATAAGTATTCCAAAAGCAGGAAGAGGGATGACTCAAAGGTAGGCTTCCTCCCATTCTTGGTTCAACATTCCCGCCTTCCAGAAGTGTAAATGCTCAAGCAACCCAGCAGCAAAAACTTCATGTTTTGGAAAATACTCCTTCACCATAAGTTTTGTTAAATCCAACGGGAAGCCATTTTCATCGGAGATCATTCAATGATCCTAATCTAACAAATATTACCTATTGCTATGGTAGGAAGAAATTCATTAATAGATTTTACTGTAAAGCATTGTCATACTTATAGGGGGAGAGAGGCTTTCAGACTGAAGTCCATACAAAAAAAAAAAAAAAAATAGAAAATATATTTTTTTTCATTGGTCCATATTTGTTACTGTGAGTGATCTAAGCTAAGTAGAGGTTTCATGGCGCAAGTTGCAGCATCAAAATTTATTAGGGGGCTACATATTGACAGGGTTTTCAATTTTTGAGGGGGCATATTTCGACGGGGTTGTGAATTTTCAAAATGAAAAGTTTCAAATCAAGAGAGAAGTGGAAGCAAGGAATAGGCCGCAGAATGTGTAATTGTATATAATCTACGAATATTTTAATTCTACTTACGTTTGCACCACGGGCGGATCTACGGGGGGGAGGGGCTTTTGTACTGAAGCCTTCCCCCAAAATGGGAAAATAAAACCATGTTTAATCGAAAAAAATATTAAAAAATTATCTCTCGAAGTATTATTGTTCGTGTAATTACATTTAAAAGGGCTTTAGGAATCACTTAAACACCATTTCATATAGGTAGTTTAGTTTCTTTCTTTTTTCCCAGAGTAATTATCGTTATTTTTATGAAAAAAATAGCTTTCGGGCTGAAGCCCCCCCAAAATTAAATCCTGGATCCGCTAGTGGTTTGGACTGTTTTTAGGAAGCCAAGAACAATAAAATATCTTGGGAGAGGTTCAGGGATATGTGCCATCGCCCTTGGGGGGGAGAAGAAAGGGCACCCCTGAAGCTAATGACTTAAAATAATCACAATGTTCTATATTCAAACTTATGCATTTATAGCTTTATAGCTGCCAAATAACCATTTCTTATGGAAATATATTAATAGATTACCCCTAAAAATATAATTGTTGAATAATTAAATATTTTATGTAGGTAGTTAGTTCCTCGCGCGGGCTCATTACCGCGTATGGGGAGCGTCCCACGGGTGGCGGATGTGGGGATGGTCGGTGGAAATTCCTTGGAAGTTCCTCCCGGCTAAGTCCGATGGACTCGCTGACCAACAATGAGAGGGGCCCTCCAGACTTGCTGGAGGGAGGGGACCTCCAGACTTGCTGGAGGTAGGGGCCCACCAGACTTGCTGGAGGGTGTGACGTAGGATTGAACGCCCTACTCACATATCTTTAGTTCACCAAACACCACAAAAAGTCATGGATCTCCCTAAGGTAAAACGCTCATTATCCGGAGGTAAACTAGTCCCCCGTTCGGGTCTCCGGGTGGGGACTGCTTTAGGGGATTCATGCCGCAAGTTGAAATATAGGGATTTAAATATTGGTACGTGGAACGTAAGGAGTTTAAACACAGCAGGGGGGCTAAAATCGGTCGCGAATGAGGTAAATGGGTACAATTTGGATGTCGTGGCTCTGCAAGAGGTTCGCTGGCCAGGGGAGGGCTCGATGAGGGATGGAAAGTACACTATTTGGTACGGAGGAAGCGGGAATCATTGTTTAGGTACCGGGTTTCTAATTAGGAGTAGATTACTATCCGCTGTGAGGGACGTACAATTCTTTAGTGATAGAATTTCGGTAGCTACATTTCAGGGACGTTGGTTTAAAATCGCATTAATAAACATACATTGTCCGACCGAAGACAGTGACGATGAAGTCAAAAGTGAATTTTACGATAAACTCGAATGGGTTTATGATAAACTACCGCGAAACTACATGAAAATAATTGTAGGTGACGCGAACGCAAAGGTAGGAAGGGAAGAAGTTTATATTCAGACGATTGGTAAAGAAAGTTTGCACGAATATAGTAATGATAATGGGATCCGTCTGATAAACTTTGCCATCTCGAAAAACCTGGTAATTAAAAGTACGACGTTTAAACGTAAGGATATTCATAAATATACTTGGACATCGCCGGATTCGCAAACACGAAATCAAATCGATCATGTCTTGATACAACACAGCTGGCAAAGCAGTATAATCAATGTACGGTCTTATCGCGGAGCAGAATGTGGGTCGGATCATGAATTAGTAATCGCGAAACTTCGACAAAAACTTAATATAAAAAAGAGAAAAGAAAACCGTTTCGATTTTGAGAATTTTAATTTGGAAAAATTAAAAAATCCATCAATTAGAAACCAATTCGAGCTAGATGTTAAGAATAGGTTTGAAGCTTTAGAGCTTCCTGACGAGGACCACGAGGATATTGACAAGTTATGGGTAGAGATCAGGGATAATATTAAAGCGGTCGGTAACTCGTGTCTAGGAAAAAAGGAAAATAAGAATAACAAACCGTGGTTTGATGAAGATTGCTTAAACATGTGCGAAAAAAGGAAAGCCGCTAAATTAAAAGCTCTAAATAATCCTAGCGAAGACAATCTGGAATACTTCCGAATCTCAAAGAACGAAACGACAAAATTGCTCAAAAATAAAAAAAGGGAGTATCTTAAAAATAAAATAATTGAAATAGAAACTAATAGAATCGAAAATAACGTAAGAGACATGTACAAAGGTATAAACAGATCACGTAAATATGTAGGGCCCGTAACGTCTGGAATTAGGGATGATAATAACAATATTCTGACCGATCCGGTTGACATATTGAATAAGTTTAAGGACCACTTTTACAATATTTTAAATACGGGAAATTATGATCGGTGTCCTCCTTCTGAGTTCCAGAGTGCTGAACCGTTGATAGAAGGACCAAGTAAAGAGGAAGTTGAAGTAGCTATCGGTAAATTAAAATCATATAAAGCAGCGGGAATCGATAATATTCCTACTGAACTAATTAAGGCATGCGGGGAAGCTGGAGTTTCTAAAATACATCGGTTGGTTGAAAAGATCTGGGTGAACGAGAAATTACCTGAAGAATGGAAAGAATCTATTCTTATTCCGATTCACAAAAAGGGTCCGAGGACGGATTGTAATAACTATCGAGGAATTTCACTGCTTCCAGTATGTTATAAAATATTCACTTTAATCTTAACCAGTCGAATCACGGAATACGCCGAGGAAATTATCGGAGACTACCAATGCGGATTTAGACGGAATCGTTCGACTATTGATCAAATATTTTCTTTACGGCAAATATTAGAGAAAAAATTGGAGTATAACGGTATTGTTCACCAGCTGTATATAGATTTTAAAAAGGCTTACGATTCTATTGACCGCCAGAAACTGTATAATATTCTAATCGAGCAGGGAATTCCAAAAAAACTAGTAAATCTAGTCAGGATGTGCTTGACGGGGACACTCAATAAAGTTAGAATCGGTAATAATTTGTCCGAAAAATTTGAGGTTCGTTCGGGCTTAAAACAGGGGGATTCCCTTTCGCCTGTCCTGTTCAATTTGGCATTAGAATATGCCATTAGGGAGGTAATGCGAACCAAGAAAGGGTTGGATCTGGGCGGAACAACATCCGTGCTGGGCTATGCTGATGATCTGGTACTGTTAAGCGAAGACGTTGAAACTATAAAACTAAATGCGACAACGTTAATGAAAGCCGGTAAAGAACTAGGACTCGAAATAAACGTGGATAAAACAAAATATATGGTTAGCTGCAAAAATGGCGATACTACTGGTGATATCGATATAGATGGTAATATGTTTGAACAGGTAGATAAATTTAGGTATCTAGGTTCTACGATAACTAGAAAAAACGAAATTGAAGAAGAGATTAAAGTTAGACTGAAGGCGGGGAATGCTTGTTATTTTTCTGTGACAAAACTACTCAGTTCGCGCCTCTTATCCCGAAACTTAAAAATTAGGATCTATAAAACAATTATCTTGCCTACAGTTCTTTATGGATGCGAAACTTGGCCGCTTACATTAAGGGATGAGCAGCGTCTTAAGGTTTTTGAAAATAAAGTATTGCGTAGAATATTCGGACCGAAGAAGGATGAGTTAACCGGAGAGTTCAGACGGTTACACAACGCCGAATTGCGTGAGCTATATCCGGGTAATATAATTGAGGTAATTTCATCGCGGCGAATCAAATGGGCTTGTAAAGTTGTTGGTCTTAGTAACGAGAGAATTCCTAAAAGGTTAATATTTGCTGTGCCGAATGGTAAGCGTCGGAGGGGTAGACCGAAGCGAAGGTGGGAAGATTGCATTAAAGCTGATCTGAAGGGACTGGGTTTGGACGGCGAACGGTGGAGGGAGGTGTGTAACAAGCGATTGGTGGTGTCGGCATCGAACCTTCGGGTTCGCTAAGCCTTATTATTATTATGTAGGTAGTTAGTTGCTTTTTTTTTTTTTTCCTAAGTAATTATCTTTATATATGTGTTTACATATACATACAACTAAAGCCTATGGACTGAATCCTCCCCAAATTAAATCCTTAATAGCTACTTCTGAAAGATACTAGAAGAACAAACCAAAATCTGCCTGTTTAGCTGCACTAGTATAGTCAGACCTGGTCACTAGCGGATCCAGGATTTAATTTTGGGGGGGCTTCAGCCCGAAGGATTTTTTTTTCATATATATAACAATAATTAATTTGAAAAAAAAGAAAGAAACAAACAAACTAACTACCCATATGTTTCTTAGTGATTCTTGAAGTGCTATTAAATGTAATCACAGGAACAATAATAGTTTAAGAGATAGATTTTAATATTTTTTTCTATAAAACATGGTTATATTTTACCATTTTGGGGGAGGCTTCAGCCCAAAAGCCCCCCCTTTCCTCTAGATCCGCCTGTGGACCTGGTCGTTGTTCCCAATTTGGAATAGGTTTAGAAATCTTTACTCTTAGATGTTATGTATACCAATTTATTTTTTTATTCATATTGAATATTTTTTCTATGAGAAAAAAATATTGCCTCTGTAATTGAACCGATTTTTTTTCTATCGAAATAAATTAAAAAGGCATTTTCTTTATTCCTTTTATTTAAAAAACAAAAAAATAATAAGTAACTAAAATTTGAAAAAAAAAAATCAGTTTTTATATTTTAAAATAAGTTTTGACTTTATTAAAGCTTATAAAAATATCAAGTATTTACATGCAACATGTCTAAAAAACTTAGGTAGAGAGATCAAGAGGATTAAAATGTTTTTTTACAAATACACAATGCAGAATTCAATGAAGTGAAAATTTGAAAAAATCCAGAAATTATTTCCTTAAAAATGTATATTGACCAGAATAGGATTTGAAGACAAATTTTTATGGTCCTTGGTAAAACCAAATAAATGAATAAAAATAAGTATTTTCTTTTAGATAAACCTTTTAAAAAATTTGTCTAACATTTATTCCCATTTGGAACAATAGTCTTTAAATGGTGAACCAGCAATGTTTTATTTTAATTTTTTTTTACTATTGTAACCAAAATTATATTCCCTAGAATAAGAATAAATGGTAAAAGTTAACCCAAGGTTAATTTAATTTTATTACACTTAATTACTAATTGCAAATATTATAATTTAAAACCTTGAATATTTCATGAACCAGGTTAATAAATAGCAATGATTAAAATCCTATAAAATTACTTTCAATATCGAATAAAACAAAGTATTGTGAATACCTAGATTGTATTATAACATGCTTGCAATTTCTAAATATATGCTAATGCAAAAGAAAAGAAAATTACTGAAGTATCCATGACATAAAATAAGAATAATTGATATTCTAGCAATTAATTTGATCAGTTCAATATATTGGTCATGAGACTTTTTTCAGTACACATGACGTTTATGATTCCTAAAGCAAAAATATTTTAGATCTTGCCTAAATATATTTTTATACTTAATACAAACAAAAATTCAAGGACACATGTAGGTAAAATATTTTTAGTTCAATACTCTTTTATTATGCAAATATTAACAATAACAAATTAAATTTAAAAATCATAGAAAATTAAATGAAAATTATATCACAAATTCTCTTAAATTTATTTGGCTTGTTATCAAATTTTAAAGTTACAAAATTCCTACATACAGTAAATCAAATAAAACACTAACGATATAATATAAATAAACAAAAAAAAAAAAAAATTACCTATATTTAATTTTTTCGCTTCTATGTTTACTCCAGTCTTCTTTATTACATTTGTAAATGGCAGGAAACAAATGGCAGTGAGATATTTATAATATATACATTTTTAAATAGAAAAAAAATGTAAGTAAATAAAAAAGGTATTTAAATATAACCATAATTATTAATCCACTCCATTTAATAACTCTTATTACAACATTACTGACACATAATAAAGTTTAAATGTGCTAATAAACTAATTAACTTTTGATCAAACTAATTAAATATATTACAAACTATTGCAATTTCATTTCAGCTCTATAAGGATTTGGAGCAATTTTGCCAGAGAAGTCTCAGCCTTCACTTTTCACTTCCTGAAAGAAAAGATAAATAACAGTTGTAAGCATAAGACACAAGGAGCAGAAACAGAAGAAAGTAAAATATGTATTTCCATGAATTGCCTCCTCTTATAACCAAAGAATGTACTTTTAATAGGAGACCTTAAGGGGACAAAAAACATATGCACAGAGAATGGTTGTAAGAGGTATTTAGAAAATGCAGGTGAATGAATATTTTCAAAAACAAAGTACTTATTCTCAGACAGAATATGGATAGAACAAAAGCTGGATATTGAGAAATAATATAATTACTGAGGGACTATTACAAACAGATCACTCTAAGGCAAATAAAGTGCAATACCAAATCAATCATAGTGTAGGTCAAGAGTCTTCAATAAGATTTTTTTAAAAATATTTTCACCTCCTAAATTTCAACACGGGACAATAAACGGACAGTTCTGTTAAAATCAAAGAACAAAATATAAACAGATATCAAGATTAAAAAATACTTTTCAATGAGATTTCTGTAACTAAAATATTAGTATTTTTTTATATCAACCTAAACTTTCTTTTTTTAAAAACTTTCTTTGTTCTTATTTTATAAAAAAGGTAGTTGAAAAAACAAAAATAGCTCTTCGAAATGAATATTATTACTTCTGTAATACAGAACAGAACAGAGGTTTATAAATAATCAAGTAGGAGACTCACTTAAGTTTCGTTTCAAAGTAGATTGGAAGGAATGTAATATTCAGCTCTTGTTATTTTATCCCTCCATATTCCATTTAATGAGTGAGGTACTGTACTTTTACCTACTGAGCCTGTTGTTTTTTTTTGCTTTTTTTGTGTGTGTGAAGTTTGAGTTTAGGTATGACAGATGATTATTTATTCAGTTAAATTAGTACTGGATCAATCCTGGAGTCAGAAGCAGTGGTGTAAATCTCCAAACTTTTTGGCCTGTGGGCCACATTCAGACCTCCAATAAGCCCCGCGGGCTGCATTGATACATCTACTAAGTATCGCAGATCTTACTTGGGATGAAAATAACAAAAAAAGCTTTATAAATGATAAATAGTAGTGAAATTAGGTTTCTAAGAGAAACAATTCATGCAATAAATGTTGTAGTAACCGTGTGCTTGAGTGATTTAATAAATTTTGTATATTTTAAAATTTTCCTTATAATCAAAGAAAATTTCGCAAGACAGGTTGGAGGTGCTTACGGATCGAACCAGACCACAGGTCGTATTTTAGAGACCCCCTGGTGTAAACTATGCCAATGCAATGCATTAAGACCTAGAGTCTGTGGGATAAACATATATATATGTATAAGAGTAGAAAATTATGTTCTGTGAACAGAAATTTGAAAAATTATGAGGTGAAATCGTACCTGAAGAGTAAGGATAAAGTTAGTTACTTTTTCTAGAATGGGGTTTCAATCTTGCATTGGGTTGCAGTAATCCTGGGTCTGCAGATCCTCCTCGAGGATATAAATACTTCCTGAAGTGGGTACCTTTAAAAGATTGTTTTCTTAACTGCCTATGAGATAATTTATCTTACAGGTAACCAACCTATTCATGTCAGAATGGGAAGGATGAGATTCATTCTCTTTTCTACCATGAAATAATTTTCAACCAGCCTGACAGAATTGAACGAGTGTCACATCTGACACGAGATTGCTAAAGTGATACCTTAACACATTTGCCCACTATGCCCTCAAATGGGAAATAGCCTGACAGTTAAATGTTATCCCAACCAAATCACCTCCTTCAATTACAAATTGCTAAAAACTGAATGAAAACCCCTTCATCAGCTAAAATGATACAGGATTTCATACTTTTAGGAAGAACTAATACCTGGTAATTTTTTCAATACTTGAACAATTCAGGAACAAGTGGTCTTTGTCTTCTGCTTCCAAAATTTTCACTTTGGCTAAAGTTTTATCCACTCTTTCTCAATAAATTAGTTTATCTTACGGTTCCTCATTCTTCTTATAGTTTTGAACACATTACTCCTTGAGGTAATTACACTCCAATTCAAGAATCTGACTTTCAATATTCAAATTTCTCTCATCCTAATATCTCTCTGGGACTCAATGGTCAAACTATACGCATAATTTTTTTATTGCTATTTTCATAGACTTTTTTAAAGACAAAACAATATGAAATAGAACCAGTAACTTCATAATAATAAACTTACTATTGTATAGAGAAACATTTACACAATAAATTAATTAATTCTTATAAAAAAATATATACTGTGTTTATTTTTAAATATCCTGGATATAATAATTATACAGCTACATGAAAGAAACAATATTAAAATTTTCTTCATTTGTAATTACAAGGAATGGTAACGTTTCTCCAAATAGTGGACTAGGGTATTCATCATAGCCATCTGGCAAGTCGCTCTCTCTGATAAATTTTCCCTTACGATCAAAAAGACAATAATTATAGTTAGAATATGAAGGAACTACAAAAATATATTTAGAGCCAATCATTCTCAGATCAGAAGGTCTTCCTTTAAGGCCTTCAATTGACCATAGTTTTTTTCCATCGACTGGAGAAATAGCACTTAATGCACTATTCTTTTTCCCCTCTAAGAAAAAGAGAACATTTGATAATTCAAATTCAATTTTTCCTTTATCTGGATTAGTTATCACTGTTATATTATCGCCTGTTTTTATGTTAATAATCTCAATATCATCTTCTACCTTCAATACAAGATATTTAGAGTCAAAATCAAGACCTCGGATTTTATTCCGTTCTAATGATAATTGGACATTACCTCTGGTATTTAAAACTTTTACAGAGGATTTCGTCCATGCCACCACTAATTTAATATCATCATTGAAAGCAAAATGTGGTTTTCCAGGAATAAATTGAGATTTGTCATTCTTAAGATCAACTAAAAATGTATCTTTAACAGTATCAGCTTTCATCCAAAGGCATCCCCAAGCAATTTCTGAACCAAGCTTTACATTACGGTTTTTTAAAAAATTACCAAAAACAAAAGTGTCAGTAACGCTAATGATTTTAAACAAAGAATACATAGAATTCCTCTTAAAAACAACTGCCACATTACATCGTGCAGCAACAATATACGGATCATTCATTGATAAGGAAGCATTGTCGTAAGATTCCTTTTTTGGTAAGGGAACCTTAATTATTTGGGTTAGCTGAACTTTTCCATAAATGCTGTATAAATTTATAGTTCCCAATGTATAATAGTATATAGCAGCATAATGGCCATCCCAAGCATCCCGAAAATACTCGCTTTCTTCTCTTTGAATGCTTAATGACTGGAAAATACCAAAACGCCAATTGAACATGGGCACACATCGGCAAAGATAATATGCTTTTGCCCAGGAGCACAGTGGTAGAACATCTAAAAAAAATTATTAGTATAAATACAAAATATTTGCTTCTTCTTTAGCTGGAGTTTTAAAATTAAATAGATCACCTGCTGAACATGGAAAAGGATCAAAAATTCGAACTTTCAAACAAAGTGGCCTCCAAATACTATCAATGTTTATGATTTGCCTCCATCTTTTACAAACGCCAAGACAAGGAAAAATTTCATCTCCATCCAAAAACGAAAATATATGATGAAATATTTCAACAGGAATTTTGCTGGTAAAGTCCATAATAGTTTCATCTAAGCTTCATGCCAAAATATTTAATGTAAAATAGGTTTATTTTCATTCTAATTAAATCGGTTTGGGATCAAATATAAAAGACGAACATCGATTCTATTAAGTTTCAGGTCAGATTTCCCTCTATCAAATTCCCAACCAAAAAAATTGCTTTGAGTACCATTTGAAAATTTGTTTAATAACAATAAATTTCATCTTCATGAACGACCATGTGTAGACATAGAGAACAAAAAAAGGAAAGACGGGCAGATGGTTTACAGGAAAAATAATTGGGCTTAAGTTTATTAAAAATTTAGTAATACTTTTTTTTATTTAAAAAAACATAAATATGGAATTATAACATATCCCCTGAAGGTACTTAGTGGATATATTTCAATGGATTTGTCCTCTGTTAGATTTTCGAGCCCACATCAGAAAGTCGCAAGCGATATTTATAAAGTCTACACAGTGTCATCAACACATTAAGGATTCAAAAAGCAACATGTTATAACTCATTTTTCAAGAAACAAAATGATAGGATTTGTTGATTGAACTTTGGAGGAATGTGACTTGTCAAAAATGGGCTACAATCATTGTGAAACCATTAACTAACTAACACATCACCAAAGTTCATCTAATAAAACCATTGATCAAGTAAAGATTCGTTTTGGAAGCATTATTCCAACAGTATTACTTACTTAATTTCGGTAGAAGTGAGTTACTTTGAAAATCATTAAATGTTAAAATAAAAACCTAATCTTAATAAAGTTAATTATTTTTGAGTAGACATTTTTGGTCTGTTTAAATGAGACCATTTCCCAGGATCGTCATACACATGCTGGATTTTTTTTTTTTTTTTTGATCGAAAATATCGAGTAGGGTCACATAGAAACTTTTGGCACTGTCTAGGTTAATTAAGACTAATGTTAGCCCTAAGCAGTAAATATTTCAAAAAGAAAACCCAACGTGCATCTGTATATAGGTCTGGGTTACCATTGGAAATACAATGGTAATTTTTCTCCTCTGTTCGCCTCGTGTGTAACAGACCTCAGGTTCTAATAGCAGATACAGATGACGATACAAATCCTTAGTTATTATTTAAATTAATATAAACTTACTAAACAAAAAGTATTAATTGCCGGTATTATTTTTCAGATTTATTCTAGGCTTTGGGCAGATGAGATTCTTACTTCATTAGAATTATTTACTCAACAGTCTTCTGAAGCATACTTTTGTGTGTGTGTATTCGCGCGCGCGTGCTTGTGTGCGATCCTATAATAATACTAATGTGATCTGCTAAGCATTTATACTAAGCATTGAATGAAAACTTTAAAATATGTGAGAGGACGACAGTGTTAAGAGTGTATCCTTTGACCTTTTAGAACTCCCATAAATATTTTATTAGAAAAATACCAACCTACAACTCATGTAGACTGAATCTGTATTAACTTTATGTAATATAGAGGAGACCAAAGCTAATGATTGCCTGACTGTATGTTATCTTCCAAACTCATTTAGGCTAAATGAGCCCCCACCGCTTAATCCACTAGTTACGTATACTAGTACAATATAATCAATCATATGAAAAACCATCACTTGCACTTGTCAAACACCCATAATTATTGGTAGGTTTATAAGAGAAAAGATTTTCAATGCTTACAAGGGCTAAGTTGCTCCCTCATACTCACTTTAAAACGTTGTCATCCAGCGTTTCTGTTACCTAAAAAGAACGGACACGTTCAGTATATTTATATAGGAATCATACGAAGTCCGGAGCTATACATAGGTGAATTTCAGTGAGATAAACAATTAATATAGCATACCATTAATTAGTATAATGACAAGACATAACACAAGTGATTTCTGTGTTGCTCATGTTATAACTATAAAACGAAATAGTAATGACTACATTGCTTTCATACCTTCAATAAAGGCTGGTGTAAGTTTTTACACAGCTCTCTCTAACCAACTAGTGCATGTAGCTGAATATGAAACCCTCAGCTTTGCGGGAAAGAACTTACCACCTAGAGGTGCTAGAGCAGGAAGAACGAACTTCAGCCCTTATACTAACGAAATAATTAAATCTTTGTTGCCTCTGATGCAAATTGAGGACATTTAAACGCACCTGGGCGGAAAGAGGGGAACATAAAAAATACAAAAGAGACAAAGAAACCTTAATTAAGAAGCATTTTCCCTGTGCGTAGGCTAATATGGATATATTTTTTTATTTATTCTAACGCTCATTTCTTTCTAAAAATAAGAAGAAAAACATCAAAATAAATTATATGTAGAAAAGACACTTGATCTTTGAGGCATGGAGACAATTAAAAGAACAAAACACAACTAAGAAATCTCTAACAAGAATTTTATTGAAAATTTATAATTTATTTATTTCAATGATTTATAATAACTGATATTGAATATATCTATTAAATAAGGCAGTATTTTGGCTATTTGAAAAATAAAATGTTCAGTAAATTAACTGTCTTGGGTATCCACTCAGTCCAATTTCCTTACCATTTTAATATTGGTCGGTTTATGTCGATTGCTATTGCTGATTTAATTTAGATGAATTTTATTTATTTATCATTTTACTATAAAGAGTTATGTTATGTTACAGACGATTTTATATAATTTCCATAAAATGTACACTGTTAAAAGTTATTTGTAAATTAAACATTTCATCAATTTTCTCTGCTTTTTATGTACAGAGGGGTGTACTATAGGTATACAAAACTAAGTTGTAGTTCGGAACCCATTGCAATGCGTCTGATATTCCTTGTTCGATAAGGCCATGTGCAACCTTTCATCTGTGGGGGAATTCAGATCATTTCCACCAATATGATTTCTCGCGAATCAACGAACACGATCTGGTGATGAGATCGGCTCCTTCTCTATTCTAGAATGCATTACCGAATTGGATTTGACCAACTAAACACAATTAAAAAGCATAAACTGAATAAATAAAACAAAAAACACAATATAATAATTAAAACAATAATATTTATTGCTTTAATAAATAGTTACCAATATTTTTACCTGTTTTTGGTGGTGCGAGGATCATGAATGATACTACATCTTTTTTATTTTTATTATGTTGAATACGTTCGTGATTAATTTATAAAATACTGATCATTGACGAATCATTGTCAAATTAAAGTAAAATCGAAGATTAAATTAAGACTGAAGATTAAGACTGACGCACGTCCTTTCCCAGCCAGAGCCTCGTATCGAGGCGGGGCGCTGTCTTCCAGCATATCTAGATATCCATATTGGTGCTTAGTATGAATCTTCACCCTTTTACAATACCAATTTTTATTAAGTAAACTTATTCATTAAGCATTAAAATTAATTATAATATTGGTAGGAAGAGGGGTATCCATTTAAACAAGAAGCTTTTAAAATAGAAAATTTTCTTTATTAATGAACCAAGGATGTGTCCAGTTCCTAGGAAAGCTGATTTTTCACAGGTTGCTGAGACTGCCCGAAAAAGAGCGATTATCCGCCACTGATAACGTTGACTACCTGGTCATTATGATAAGAGCTGGTAGAAATGAAGAAGTAGAACAGTACGGCAATCTGCTGGAACAAAGAAGTTCCTAAAGAGGAAATACGGATAGAAAACACTTTTTACATATTAAAAGTAAAGAAATATGGATATGTACAAGTGAGGTGGTTCTCTGCTTTGGCAAAAACAGTACCTGGGAAATCAGATCTTATATTTGTACAGTCGTAGACAGTTGTGGTAAGACTTCTGGTTCATTAGATATTCTCCAATCATGGGAATTTATAAAGGCTTGATGATAGGCATTCTTGAGATTTGCGTCTGCTGATATCACAGGCGTATCGAGCGATATATACTAAACTACTACTAATAAGGCTCCTGTCGAACACCATGAGACCACGTCGTGGCGAATTATGTTTTAAGAAACACTTTATGAACTATAGTCACTTTTTCCTTTATGAAAAAAACTTTTAAAAATTGCTGATTCTATCCTGATTCAGTATCCTACAAAATTAGCCTGGAAAAGAAAGGCCTTTAAGGTTTTTTTATCTTTAAAACTAAAAATTTAAAATGGACGTATATGATACTTTACAGGACCATTTAACATCAATCAGAAAGTGTCAGCTCTCTATAATAAATTAAAAATAAATAGTTTTAATTATTTATAAATATATATTCAATGATTTTAATTGGCAAATGAAGCTTATTTATCCTAAATAAATATATTTATCGAAGATGTAATTTTTTTTAAAGTTGATAGAAAGCTCGGTTTTATAGTAATTAAAAAGGTATAGAATGTAAAATTTTGAGATGTTATATCAAATTCTTTAAAAAATATATAGAAAAATGTATTAAGAAATTTAATTATCAAAATATTCTTAACTAAATTTTATTATAAGTATGTATCTATCTATTTGGTAGTGCCTGGCTGATACCAAACGGGTAGGTAATCATATCAATGTTTTCCAAATCGCTGTCATAGTATTAGGTATAGTACTGTCAATAGTAGTATAGTATTGTCAATTAATATTTTTCTCACTGTATTCGATGAATTGAGGTTTAATTTTGATTAAGAAAACAATGTTACTATCACATTTTTTTAAATATGACACATATTGATCAATAAATGAATTTAGAATATGGATAATCAAGAATCTGAAGAGAGTAATGAAAATGTTTTGGTAAATATCATAACTTTAATTGATGGGATATTGTCAAACTTTCTGATTTCATATCGTAAATTATTAATTGATTTATTTCAGCCTGAAAATAATTGTACTGATGATGACAATGAAAGCACTACATCTGAAGATTTGGATTTGAAGTTAAAGTATGGGCGATTAGCAAATGATTTACAAATAATTTTAACTAATGACTCTGCAAGCTGTATAGCTGTTCATCCTAAAGTGTGTGTTTCATAGTTTTTGTGAGATAGCTATAGAAAAAATGTATAACTCATATTATACTCAATTTTTAGTTTGTTTGCATTGGTACAGATTGGGGAGTTATTCATTTGTTGGATCACCAAGGAAATAGTGTTAAAAATAAGGCCCTTAGAGCACATTCTGTTGCTGTCAATCAGATTAGCATTGATGCTAAAGGTGATTACATAGCTAGCTGTTCTGATGATGGAAAGGTGATTTTGTTTTATTAATGTATTCATTTATGCTCAATTATAATTATTCATATTGGTAGGGCATTAGTTGGTTTATCTTCTTTTGTTGTAGGTTCTTGTTTTTGGGTTGTACAGTTCAGATAATAATCATGATATTAAACTTGGACGGCTTGTCAGATCAATTGCCATTGACCCAAATTATTATAAATCTGGGTCTGGGAGGCGGTTCATAACAGGTAAGATTTTTTTTTTGTTATCTTGACAGTTTTTGGTGTCATTTGAACCTTTATAATTATCTTAATTCATTTTGAGATTCTACATTAAGCTATATTTTGTGCTATGAAATATTTTTTAATTGACATATAATTATATGTTTACAACTCGTTTATTCAGTATTATAACAGAATAGAATTAATATGTGAGGATCTTGTTGTTATGTAACTTGATACTTTGCCAGGATATGTTAATTAATTATTTACACCTGAAAAAAATTGAGGCAAAGTTAACTATTTTGGATCCTGTATTTATTATCATTATTATTTTTTTAATGAATATATTTTATTCATTGTTAAAATTAATTTCTTTTCTTACAGTAATCATTATTAATTACTGAAATTTATAAAATTTTAGGAGATGAAAGGCTGGTACTTCATGAGAAGGTATTATTTTCCCGTGTAAGGTCTACTGTTATTGCTGAGGCTTCGCAAGAGGGAGGAGTAAAAACTATGAAATGGAGTCCCGGTGGTGAATTTCTTGCATGGGCATCTCATGCAGGTTTCAGGGTTTATGATCTTGTCGCAAGAGCTTCGCTTGGCCTTGTCAAATGGTCAAATAAACCACAGTAAGAGATTTAGTTTTTTTCTAACTTCCTTATGACAATACTCTTTTATTTAAGTAGATTCAAAGATGTCAATTACAGCAAATTAAAAAAAAGATAGAAAAATTCTGTATGTTTAAAATGTGCTCCTTTATTGAATGTATGAAGCGTCTCCGGTTTAGTTCTTTTTGAAGAAGTACTGTTGTTTGATTGTTGTTCAAAGTTAGACTGATGGTATGGTGCAATTAGCTAAACTCAGTACTGAGCCCACAATTGGCATCAGAAATCTATTAGACTGCTCCTAAACACATCAATAGAAATTAGCTCATCCATTTATTCATCAAATGAATTACCAGTCGCTCGGTAGTTCCATGGGATATTGAGTTTGATGGATCCTCTGGATGTAACCTAAGTGTTGTTATTTCCCAATTTAAATTACGTAGTTTACTTTCTATCTAAATTTAATTCTGTTTTGAAATTGAACTATTTGGTAGTTAGGTATTTCCTTTTTTTTTTTTCACATATATTATTACCTTCCAATATTATCAACCTTCTGCTGTTATCCATTAGGTTGTTCCTTAACTCTCCATAAATTGCTACCCATTGTTTCTGGATTCAATTAATTAATGGATACCATTGATGGAATTAACACTGATATTAGACACTTGAGATAATTGCTCAACAGTTTCTCTCCCCTCAATATTCTGTTTTTTGTCAGAATAACTGGATGCTTTATTCAATAAACTACTATTTTTATTAGGGAGCACAAAATTAATTTCCTGAAAAAAATTTACTTTTGGCTTTATTAATTTAAGGTGTGTCAAGCAGTGTATAATCCCAATCAAAAGTTATGTTCATATTTTTTTTAACTTAATTTTATTTCACATATTTTGTGTTCTGTTTAATATTGTTTTACATAAATATTACATTTTTTTAATTTATCAGTTATTTAAACTGATACATATATATATATATTTTAGGGTAGATATGAAGTGTCATATATGCTGGAAGAATACTCACACACTGATTGTTGGATGGGCTGATACAGTTTGGGTTTGCAATGTAGAAAGGAGATCTGTTGTGACCCCTATGGATGCTTCAGTATATGTTGTGCGCCCAAGTAATTAACAAATAATTACTTAATTACTTTTATATCATGATGTTATTATATGATTCTATTAATATTATGTTTTATAACTGTCTAGTTTACACCTTTCAAACTGAGTTCTGGGTATGCGGTGTCAGTCCTTTGAATGAGAATCTTGTTCTTCTCGGTTGCGTTAAAGACAGTCAAGGCGAGAGACCTCAGCTTCATATAGTTAAACCAGAAGAAGATGATTATACTGATTTAATTATCGATAGTCTTTCACTCCGTGGTTTTCAAAAGTACACTCCCTCTGAATACTCTCTAGGTATCTTTTTTTGTTAGCTTTTATTTGTTTTCTATATTATATAATCTGTATTCTTTTTCTTAATGTATTTTGCACATTTATAATTATAATTGCTATTTCTGTATGCGTTAATGTATTATTATTGACAACCGTATGATTCCAAAAATGGCTTATCTTTTAGTTTTTAATTTTCAGAAGGTTTTATCAATTAATTAAATTTTGAACAATCCATTCAACATTAGTAAATACATAACCAATAGGAATGGTGACAAAGCTTACCCTCTTTTGGTACACTTTTTTAATACGTTAAAAATAATATTTATGTTAAAAAAATTATTAATTTTTATAATGTATAAATAAATACTATTTATGATATGGAATTCATTATCACTCATTTTAAATATATAACCAATAACATAATATTTTCAATATTATGTAAAATATTAATATATCAAGTTAAAAGTAAATATATTTATTAATTTCAAAACAGTATATCTCTTTCATTTAATAGTACTTCTCGCTGCGTATTGCATACTTAATTTTTTGTATACATAATACTTAGGAAAAATATTGTTGCTATATTTTAGAATGCTTGGTTGATGAATCAAGATTTGTCATATTAAGCCCAAAGGATATTGTTGCCGCTTGTCCTTACGACAGTGACGACAAAATAGATTGGCTTCTTGAACATTGGTAAGTTTCATTTTGATCTGTTACCTAAACTCTTATTTACTATGTATGTGTGATATTGATTGTTAAATGTTTGATATATAATCCATCACTTTAGTAAATTTGAAAATGCGTTGGAGGTTGTTTCGTCAGCTTCGAAATCTCTCATACGCCATACCTTACATAGTGTAGGCAGAGCTTATCTTGATCATTTACTGGCTTCTGGGAAATACGATCAAGCTGCCCTGCATTCATATAAAATTTTAGGTAATTAAAACTCATTACAAGATTGATTTTTTACTTTTTTAAATATATATTTTTTTGTTAACTGTTTATTCACAAATTATAATGTTTGAAAAATAATGTTATAAGATGAAGATAATGTCTAATCTATTCGTTAAAAAAATTGTTATCATTAAACTGAAATCTATGATATCCATGTATTTAATTATATATATATTTAATTAAAAGTGTTTGCAAATTTTACAATGCACTTAGATATGGATTACATAGAGCAAATAAATGTATATATCAGGAATGCATAAGGCATAACAAAGACATGGGGCAAGTTGCACCATAAATATTTTTGAGGGATGTCCTGTCGGATGACCCTTCTAGGGAACCACTTCTTTTTGATGATAGTAAATTAGTTGTATATTAAAATATAATTATTTATTGTTTTAGGAGATGACAAATATGGTTGGCAAAAGGAAATTTATAAATTCTACAAAGTTAACCAATTGAGGTCTGTTGCTAAATATTTACCATGCACGCCTGAAGCATCTCTCTCTTCTAGTATTTATGAAATGGTGCTGTGTGAATATTTGAAGAATGATTCTGATGTAATTAATAATAAATTGAATAATCATAAATATAATCATAATTATTCAATTTTGTCATTTTATTTATTGATTTTTGGTTAGGGTTTCTTGGAAACAATAAAGAAATGGTCACTCCCTGGCCTTTACAATGTACAAGCTGTGATAAATGCCACTCTCGAACATATTTTGGAAAGTGATCCAAAGACAAACCTGGTCTTACTCGAGGCCCTTGCCATTTTATATTCTTACTCGGGAAAGCATGATAAAGCTCTTGCCATGTATATTAAGTGAGTCTTAACTGTTATCAAATTTAAAAGTTTTCGAAAAGATTGTTTTTTCTATAATAAATACCTTTCTTAAAATTTCAGGATTCAAAATAAAGGAGTGTTTGATCTAATAAGAAGTCATGATCTGTATTCCACCTGTGAGTCTATGCTAAAAGAATTAATGAACTTAGATGCTGATAAGACAATTAGTATTTTAATGGAAAGCAAAGTATTTGATAAGGACCTTATAGTATCAAAGCTTTCAAACAATAGCTACTACCTCTATCTTGTAAGATTTTTCTACCTTTTAAAATCAAAATGTGATAAAACCTTGATTATTTGATACTAAGCTGGGAGATAATAACATTTTATAAACATACATTTTATTACTGACAAATATATAAATTTAATTAATATATACACACACATTATATATATATATATATATATATATATATATATATATATATATATATATATATATATATATATATATATATATATATATATTCATTAGATTCAACTAGTCCTATTTTATTGTTACTTTACATTCAGCATTTCAGCCCTTAGGCTAAAATTAGGTATATAAATTAAATGGATTATTGAAATAATTAATGAGGAAATGTATTGGGTTGTCCGGAAAATAATGCAGGACTTTGGTTTAAAAAGAAAGATTTACAACTGTATTAGTATTTTCTTTCCTAAAAATTGGCCTTAGGGGTGAAATGTTAAATTAAAGCGATAATAAAGTACGCCTATTTAGATCTGTGTGTTTTTATTATTGCATATAAATTTAGATTGAGAAATAAAATTTTAAATAAACAGATTAGAATCAAATGAAAAAGTGTTAAATTAATGCCAAATATTAAGCATAGCTAGTCTTAGAAATCTGCTCTCAGGGGCTGAGGTATATCATCAATGACCATCATATAAGGTTGTAATGATTATTCTAGTTTGAAAATTAAATATGTTTTCTTAATGGCCTGCCTAATTAATTGGATAAAATAGTTAAGTACTGTATAATCAAGGTTTTACTTTACTGTATATGAGTGTTTGAACTTAAATTTCTTTTTCTCAGTACCTAGATGCCTTAGAAAGAAGAGATCCTAAAAATTGTTACAAGTATCATGCTCAGCTTGTCAAGCTCTATGCTGACTTCAATAGAGAAAAACTTCTTCCCTTGCTTAAAGAGAGTAATCACTTTTCGATACAAGAGGCTCTGGATATTTGTCAAGAGCACAACTTCCTACCAGAAATGGTTTACCTTTTAGGTATTATACTTTTTATATTAGATTATTTAATTGTATTTAATGCAATTTTAAATGTATTTTAATGCATGGTTTCTATTTTAGGTCGTATTGGAAATACTCAAGAAGCCCTAAGTCTTTTAATGAAAATTGGGGACATAGAAAAGGCGATCAACTTTTGTAAAGAACATGATGATCAAGATTTGTGGGAAGATTTGATAAATTACTCTCTCAAAAAACCAGGTAATGTCAAATTATAATTTAAATACTTCATTGGTAATTCTATTTAGGAATTCCCTGTTTTACGTTCGCCATTTTTTAAGTTGTTTTGAAATTACATCTTTAACTAATTTTTACTGAGAACTGTTTTACATCCAAGTGAACTCAAAGTGAAGAACAAAAATAACGTTTGAATGCCTTAGTTCTGTGGGAAGGAATATAGAGGGTTCAGAAAGATGGGATCTTGTTCCCTGTTAGTGGATGGAGGATTTCAGTTGTAGGAGGCTATAGATGTAGGATTGTAGCTGGGAATCGATTGTTTGGTGTAGTTATGATTTGACGAAATATTGTTTAGAGGCGGACGGAAAGGGTCAGTCAAACTCGACTTAAAGGTGAGACACATGAGTGCCTCTTGGTTATAAAGACAAATTAAAAAAGCCATGCATAAAAGTTGTATATAGATTTATATTTATATACGTGTAATTATGTAAGTGGGGATTGACCATATGTAAAGTGATGACCATGGTGAAATATAATATATAAATCATGATGTAATGATAAGTTTGCTGATGTTTTATTTTATTTTAGAATTTATCACAATACTGCTGCAGAGGATAGCTGCTTTCGTCGATCCAAGGATGCTTGTACAAAGAATAGAAAATGGTATAGAAGTACCTGGCCTCAAAGCTTCACTAGTCAAAATGCTTCAAGATTATAATCTTCAGGTACAATATTCCTAATACTGTACAGTCATATTTAACATATTCTTATGATATGAAAGTTAAGATTAAATTTTATTTCAGCTTTTCAAGTGTTAGTGATCAGTCTATAGTTTTAAATAGTTAATTTGATTTTTTCTTTTTTTTTAAGATAATTAATGTTTAAAAAAAGTGTTGGGAGTAAAGTCATGTCACGAGAGTGAGAACACTCCCACATCATGACGTATGACCTAGTTCAGAGCATTTTTTTTTTCTTGATCTTCACTACCTCGCCTTTTAGGCTATATGGGATTTCCCTGGGCCGGAGGGTGAGAGTGGGGAATTTAAAATCCTCTCCGACATCGGGATGTGAACTCGTACTTTTTTTAATCTCATTACTTATCTGGTTACCTGGTTGCCGGACAACTCGCAGTGCTGTGCACACGCATTAGCCCATTCGGCCGCTCCGCCCCCTAGCTCATAGCATTGGATATCCCATACTTTATAGCTTATAATAGTTCTTTCAATTTTTAAACTTCCACACAAGAAATATCTTTCCGTTTTTTTTCTCTCACCCTATCGTATCTGATTACAAATGTTTATTTCGAAATATGTTATAGAATAGAAAACAAACTTTATTCTGAGACAAGGTTCCTTAAGAAAAACCATTATGATTAACAAAATAGAAACTATATCTGTCAAAAAAATACATCGATAAAAATTAAAGAATATATACAATATCTTCAGTGAAAATATATGAACAACAGAAAGTAAAAACATTTAGAAAAAAACATAAATGAAATGAAAAGGAAAACGGAAATCAGAGAAAATAAAAAATAATATGTTATAAGCACTACGAGTTGATTCTTAAGATTTAAACTTAAATAATTTCAACGACCATTCATTTCAATCAAAATTTATTTCATGGTTGTACAGTGTCATTATGGGATGTAAGAAGGAATTGGTAAAGATGGTATGTCAATGAGGATAAGAGGCATGGCAGATATCAGATGGCAAGGCAGTGGATCGGGCAATAAAGGAATGTTCAAATGTTTTAGTTCTATGGGAAGGGATATAAAGGTCGGAAACATTATTATATTATTATAATATAAGAATATTATATAAATAAATGTTGATAAATTAGAGCTGAGAGACAGTATTGTATTTGACAGCCATATGAGTCAGACTGTAGTGAACATGAATCACGCTTCAATCCCCTCACTACATCTCCGAGGCGCACTGTTATTTCAAGTTTTTAGTTAAATATGGACCTTTTTTTATTTTGTTTTCGAAAAGTACATTTTTTTAGGTGCCACACAACTAAACCGACCACCAACGATCCATTAAAATTTTTTTAAGTGTTTAATTTTCATTTATGATGAAGCGAGGTGATTGTGCAGTTGATTGAAATAATCAAAAAGAGTTGTAGTCTCTCCTCTGCTGAGTTTAAACATTGGACATTGAGCCACCTACTTCCGTGTAAAATTAAAACTTGATGATTGAATATTGTCGCGGTCGGGTTGAGATATTTGGGAATTTTTTTCCTCCCGATTTCCAACTAATCCGTTTGGTTAATCCTAAAACTGAACACAACATTTATTAGGCTCGGGAAGTTGAATTGAATAACTCCTTATATCTTCCTTGAACAGGAAGAACAAAGTTGAAAAATGAGTTTTAAACAACAACGTGTTACAGATGTTCGGTATTTCTGATTTTTCCCATTGAGTTGTGATACTTTTTTTGCACCAGTTGAATGAATAGTACAACTTTTAAATGTGGCTTGCGGTAGAGTAGGTTGGGATGAGAATCAAAGTAAGTAACTGCCTAACCGGGATTTTAAGTACTCAAGAATCCATAGCTTTGGTTCTACTCAATATTTTGTTTTCATTTAAAGCCTATGTTTTAAGTCAACGAAACCTAAATATAATGTCAAAATTTCAAAAGTTTACCATTAGCCATTGCTGAGCTTATCCCTGACAAACTTTCGTTGGACAATGCGGACTTACAGGTAGGCAAAAAATTTTTTAAAAGTGGATTTGGTGTCTGTAATGTATAAAACAGAAAGATATCATGAAACGGATTGATTCTATTCAATGTACAGACAAAACATTTATTTTATTTATATAGATTATTATTATTAAAAATTTTTAAATGCTTTTAAAATAATTTTTATAATATATCGTTTCAGGTATCCGTCCAAGAAGGCTGCAATGCGATTATTGCAGCTGATTATTTCAATCTTCATCAGCGAGTTGTCGATATTCAGCAAAAGGGCACGCTTGTAGGAGGTGAATAAAGATAATTTTATGATAAAGTGACTCTTATTGAAGATTTTGAGATAAGTTTCAGTGTTGTTGTTTTTTTTTGGATACTTTTTTTTTCCATTGAATATATCATAAGTTTATCATTATCATTGTTTGTTTATTTAGTATCTTAAAAGAGATATATGATAGTAACAAAATCCTTTTGAAAATGGGGTTGATAATCTTTTACTGTTTTATATTTTTCAAGGTATTATGTTTGTGATTTTCCAAAAGTTAAGCTGAGGATGAATTATGAAGAATTAGCAATGAAAATAAATTTTGTAAATAAACAAATAGAAGTAAAAAGGATGTAATTTAGAACAAATCTTGAATGTCAAATGCCTATACATATTTTTTTTTATTTTTTTTTGTTTATTTAATGAAATTTACAACTGTATACAAATACAACAAGTAAATATGCGCAAATATAAATAATGACATGTACAGGCTTGAAGAGTTACTACCCAGTGGTAGCACTCTCTAAATAATTTTAAGTAAGAAGATCACAAGGCCATCTCCTTTTCAGACACCTAGGAGGATTATCAGGAATCGAGAAAGAAGCAAGAGTGGAAACAAGCGGATTTGGATGGGACTGAAGTTTATCATGAAAGGATAGATATCTGGCTCGAGCTAAATCAGCGACATATGGTACATTAAGGTCTTTATGAATGGTTTTATTTGTGACAAAGTATGGAGCATTAAGGATTTTACGGAGGATTTTGGATTGTAAGGATTGGATACTATAGGAATTCAATGGTTTGGTGGAGCCCCAAAGCTCAACTCCATATGTCCATATAGGTCTTATTATAGTTATGTAGATAAGTCTTTAGTAATTAATAGAAAGTTTGGAGCGTTTGTCTAGTAAGTGTTGGAGCAGTCGGAAACGTCGAGCAGTTTCTTGTCGTTTCAGTCTAGTATGAGGATTCCAAGTAAGACGTTTATCCAAATGGAGTCCTAGCCTATACATATAATTATAATAAAGAAGATGACAATCATTTCAAATCAATTTTTTATTAGAAGTTATTAGAATCTGTTAGACACTGGCAGTAGCTCAAAACTGTTATCCTGTTAGTTTATGTATCTTTAAACCATCACCTTGAATAAGTCAAGTACACTTGCCAATAATAAATTGTTATATTTTGGATGAGCCAGCAGAAGTTGATAACTGTATATTAATAATATTCAAAGTGGCAACATTAGAAGGTGCAGTTTACAAATCCTACCAGAAGGATTAATGCAAAAAAAGTACACATTTCTTGTAAATATAAAATGAAAAATAGGAATATTTGAAAAAGTGAAATTACCAAATAAACTAACATAAATCTTATGGCAGAAAATAGCCTATTCTTAAAGAAAGTATAAGTATAAAGTGATATAAGCCCTAGGAGTGGGTGGCCAAATGGAAGTGTGCACAGCCCCGCACATTGCCCAGCAACCCAGATAATTTGATAAAAATGATTATATAAGTCCATGTCCCAGTCCTATGGAGGCTTTTAACTCTTCCATTAATCCCTCACCCTCACCCCTGCTCGGGAAAACCCCATAGATAGATAGATAGATAGAAAATAACTTTATTCTGGGACACAGTTCCTTGAGAATAACAAAATAGAACAAAATTAAAAGCCTGCTCATTTCAAAACTTGCTTCCTCCTTGATCTCTGATAACCATCCGAGACTTCTGAAAAAAAAGATGATCTTGTGGTCTTATGTAAATATATTATCAGAAAGCAACCAGTGGCTAGTTTCTCAACAAGCGTTTTCATGTCATTACATTCTTCCTGTCTGCACATTTACTAGATATATTTTTATTTTAATACAGTTGTAAATATCTACACTAGATTCTAAAGTGGTTATTTCTGTTGGGTATAATACTTTAGTTTTCTGAGCCATTGCATTTGGATTTCTTCTGATGAAGTCCTTTGGGTTCTAAATAATGTACAAAAGAGAATTGATTTTAAAGCCTGATCTGCAATGCTAAACTTGAATTAACTGATGTGTTGAAGTCCATTATCAGAGGTATCTGTTAAATATTTCTTATCTATTACTGTTTAATGGTATTCAGTATTTAATTGAATTGCTCAAAATAGAAGTTTTATGAGCAAATTTCCTTAACGATAACAGAATTGTTATAAATAACTTTGGTTTGGAATTTTTAGAAAGCTTCGCCATTATGAAATCTTATTTAAAAACATTATTTCAGCTCCCTCTTTCTTTAATTAATTAATTTAGTTCAATTTATTTTTGTAGATGAACATTTCTGTGGAGTGTGTCACCTCAAAGTCATAACAAAAAATACAAAAGGTGAAATATCCTATTTAATATTTCTGATATATTTAATAATTAAATAAAGATTTTAATTGTTACTAATGTTTTAGACGTACACCCTCCTGCTGACTTTCTGCTATTTCACTGTAATCATATATTCCACGAGTCATGCTTGCCTTCAGATTCTGTTAGTATTTTATTGATTTCTGTTTATTCTTGTCTTATATTAGTTTTAGAATTTTCTCATAATTTCTGTTGTTTTATTTTTCAGAAAATTTGTCGGATATGTACAACGCAGAAACAGAGAATTATTTTTTAATATTTATATTAAATTTTTTTTTAACTACACAGTTTGTCTAATATGTACATTTTTAATATATTGTTATCTTCTTTTATGCTCAATTTTTTTTTATATGTATTCTAAATGTTTTGATAAGAATAAATAAACATGTGATATATTTCATTATCAATGTTTTTTTTATTAAGTTTCCCTTGAGTTGTGTTATTTTTTATGAAATTATATTATTTTGTGTGAGAAGTTTTTTTGATCCAGTAAAACACGTGAAATGACAACCAAAACTATACTACAAGGTAATCAAGATTGTTTGAAGTTTTTTATTAAATTATTTTACAATGTGAAATTGAAAAATAGTTAATATTTACTATGAATAATAAATTATATTATTTGTCAACCTTTGAATTCAATTAATTATAATAACTCAAATATAGTACTATCTGTGGTTTTTGTTAAATTTTAGAAGTAGTACTATTTGAAGTTCTTGTTGAACTAGCACTAAGCAAAATTTGTTTGATCCTTAAATGTAGATATAAAATCTTGGGAAAAAAAGTTTGTATTCAACTTCCGTATGCCCTCTAACTAAGGAGGAGGGATGGGTTATCATATAGGTTACTAACATTTCTTAGCCAGAGGTTGTCAATATTTATTCTGTGGGTTCGCTACAATATAAATTCAATTCCCCTGGCCACAATCAAATGAGCACTGTTAGGTCTGACTAGATATAATAAAAAATGCTAATTAATCTTGTATTCTCAAAATTAGAAAAGTTTTTTTTCTGTTGTTGCTACAGACCATGATCTTTGACCGCAAGATGTGGTTTCTTTACAGACGTATATTGCTTGCGGGACCACATATAGCTTGGAGGAGGTAACCCAACCTCACGTAGCTGCGAGCCATGATCTCCATGGTGCAGTGGCAGGCCACCTGTGGCTCCATAGTCGATCCCTTTGGGGCCAATCTGGCATTGTACTTCCCACCGACACACTCGAGTTCAAGGACAGTGACAAAACAGTCTAGATCCATGGATTTATATTTATTTCTCCGAAACAGACCGTCCATGGACCAAATTTCAGGGAGACTACTGAAATCCTAGAAAACCACAGGGTAAAGTCATCAGTCCTATGCCCCTTTGATGTGGTGGATGAACACCCATCCAAGTAATAACCACGCTTGACATTACTTACCTTCATTACCTATTGCAAGCACCTTAGCCCACATGGCTCCCCGTCCCCATTAGTCAACTTAAGCATGTATTATTTTGTAAGATTAAGAAGATATCTATTTTCGTCTAGATACATAATACTTGTATAAACTCTGATCAACACTACTGCACGTTCTCATTTCAATTCATTTTATTAACACTGATTGATAATTTATTTTTTTTAACAGTATTCAAATAATGCAGTATAAATAATCAAGTATAAATTAAAATTTAAACAAGAAAAAAGTTTAATTTTTATTATGTACTTATAAAAAACAAACAAAAGATCTTAATTAATTTATAGATTGATTGTTGATTGTCTACAGTTCCATGTTTAGATATTGGTCTTCTCCAAGTATCTAAAAGTTCTTCAACACTGGTAGATTGAAAACCGAGCGTTGTTGAAACTTTGAGCTAGCTGTAAAACATAGATAAGAATCTTTGTTACGACGGCTTTATACTCAATTAATTTTTAATTAGATGCCATTCATTTTTATTTAAAATTGTAAGAAATTTTGTCAAGTAAATGCTATACACCTAACAAGTTTCTAAATGGAGAATTATAAATCCTTTGAAATTAGAGATACTAATTGAATTGTTTATTTTAGAAATGATGTCTAACTATTATTGCTTTTGGGTTGATACTAATTTTAGATTCATTGTTTATAGCCTGCATTTTTAAATACAAGAAAACATGTTACATAAATTGTGCTAAGATTGACATTTTATGCTAATTATTTTTTTTTTAGACTTTTATCTATGAAAATTTTAGTATAAAATATGTACTACTAGTGTACTATATATATTAGTGTACTACTCAAAATAAAGATTTCATGTTTTGTTCCTGAAATAACCAATCCAATTATTTTTTTTTAACGAAACTAGAATATATGGGAAATCAAAATACCCAAGAGATTTATAAATATGTGAGCTGATTTTGATAGACATTTAAATATTTTGAAATATTGATCAGAAATAAATTATTAACATCAAATTTATGCTTGAAGATTATAATAAAGAAAGCAAAATAAATATATTGTGTAATATTTTTATGTTATGGCATCATTTACAATATTAAGGTTGTTTTTACGCATTTCAGCTTTTGAAAATTATTTAAGAGCTCGACTGACATTCACTCAACAATTAGCTGATTACTGTTCGAGGGCCGTACATATAGACTGCCTTATGCGATGCGGAGCCATGGAACACTTAGCTCCACTACTTTCGGATGTCTCTTATAAAGTTCAACAGTGCGCTGCTCTAGCTATCGGGCGAATGGTCAACTCAAGCGAAGAAGCAGCCCAGCTCTGCATTAAACTAAAATTAGTCGAGCAGTTGATCCATGGTATTGATAACAGAAGTGTATGTGAAGTATTTTATTGTTATTTATCTGTATGGAAAACTATTTAATATTATGTTTTTAAATATAATAACACTAACAATTCAAACAACATTACATTTCACATCATAAGACAGAAAATTAATTAAATGTAATATTTGTACAAAATAAGATGGGTGTTAAGAAAGTCCAGAATGTCACTTCCTACGTTGGAATAAAGTGGGTCAGATTGATCGATTAAGGTTCAAAAAATATCCTTTACAATGCCTAAAAATGGACTCTACTACTCTGCAAAATCATAATTTTTTACCAATATAATTCTGCCCATCACTAGTTTCTTATCGATTGTTTTTTTTAAACTGTTATCAGGTTTCAAGAAATAGTTCTGTGTCACTTTGGTATCATGACTTGTGAACTTAATACTACCTATCAATAATAATCCTTATTGATTTTGTGGCAAAAATACACAGATGTAAATAAAAGGGTTCAGCTGGGTAACGCTCAATGTGACATTTTTGCAAAATAATAATTTTCAATAACATTATAGGTAACTTCCATTACAATTTATTAAAATGAATTCATCTAGAAACCAATGAACCTTCTTGCTTTATATAAAAAGTTCATTTATATTTATTGCATCTATTACCAGCCTTATTAAACCAACTTACAGATTATTTTCTCGTTTTATTAAATTTATTGACATTTTGTCATTTCACAAGTGAGAATGAAACTGACTAATTTTACTTTTATAAATTAAGATATTTTTGAAAACAATAGCATATAAAAACACCACATCTATAAGAATTTGATGGAGTAATGGTCTAAGTTCTAAGGTCTAAGTTTCAAGCATAAAAATTCTTTAAAATTATTCAGACGAACACTAAAATTGTTTCTGTCAAAGTTTATTATAACTAGAAAATTAAGGTATTAAATGGAGAAGAGAATAAAAAACTTGGATAATAAGTAATTTTATTAAGTATATGATTATTCATTATGCTAGTAACAATCGGTATTTTTGAAAATTTTGTTTTTGCAGAAATATTACAAAAAGTCTGCAATGTTTGTCCTTCGAGGAATTGCCAAACATAATCCTGACATGGCTGGAATCCTTCTGGCAAGCGGTGCTCTTGCAGGAATAATGTCATGTATGGAAGATTTTGATGCAGGTGTTAAGGAGTCTGCCATTTGGGCTGTTGGTTACATCGTGAAACATAATATCAATCATGCTGATGCCGTCGTATCTGCAGGTTTGATTATTTGTTTCAAAAATTTATGACTAGTAATTGTTACAGTTTGTAACTAACAAATTATAATAATAAAGACTTAGCAAACCTCAAGGATTTGTTTCCAATTCTACCAATTGTGGTCTGCATACTTCCAAGTTAACAAATTATACATTCATTTATTTTATTATTGAAGTTTTTATATTTTTAACGTTTATTATATGTTTCTATTCAATGTATTATATTACAAGCAAAATCTGTTTTTGTATTAAAATATCTATCTATCTATATATATATATATATATATATATATATATATATATATATATATATATATATATAATATATATATATATATATATATATATATATATATATATATATATATATATATATATATATATATATATATATATACACATATAATTTCCAACTTTTGTAATTCTCTCCCTCTTAAAATTTGCCATATTCCCTCCTTATTCACATTTAAAACTCTCCTTTTCCAGTTTCACTTCAAGACCCAATTAGATACTGGCTAAAATATTGTATTATATAATAAGGATTAATTTTTTTTGTAAGGAATATGAATACATATTTCATATTACTTTGTACAGAGGCCTTAGTTAGAGTTTACTATTATGTTTAAGTAGGCTTAGTTAATTATACATCTTTAAATAACAGAAGTTGCAATTTATTTATTTATATTTTTCTTTGTTAGTTAAGAATGTTTTTTTTATATGATTAATGCAATTACCCTTTCTGCATCATTTTATTTAAGTAGCGAATATTTAATTTCATCTAGATTTATTTGTTTTTAATATATTTTTCTTTTTTAATTTTTGTCATAGCTATGTATGCAATATTTAGGTATTTATTTTAATTTATGCTTATGTGATCGGTATTATGGCCAGAATTGATCTTCATCTATGTTTCTATTGTTATTCTTAAGGGTTCTAGTCCCAGAATAAAGTTGATTTTTTTATTACACACACACACATTATACACTGACAGGCAAAAAATTCCATCCACTTGATTTTTTCATGTTTTCATCTAAAAATATTTCTGCTTTGGATTGGTTTATTGTTTTTAATGAATAAATAGGTAATCTTTTTGTTTGTTTTCAATTAGGAATGTTAATATAGAGGACAATAACCCTTAACCCTTATTCAATGAAATGATTCTAGATTCCAATGTTTACTTTCTATGGAATCAAAATTTTATTCAGTATCATTAGTTCAGTGCCGTTTCTTGCAGCATATTTCTTAGTCTCCGGCTTTTAATTTTTTCAATATTAAGTTTAAAAATGCCTCTTAGTGCTGAGGATGTTGCGCGTGATGTGGCACTTATTGATGATGGACATTCCATTAGATATGCAGCTAATGCCATCTGAGTTCCATATAA